TAGGGGATATTCACTTTCTATTAACAGCATGTGAGGCTTTTTCAACCTTGAACTACAGGACAAGTCAATAAATACCTACCTTTGTACTTTTTGTGGAAATTTAAAGAGAAAGATCCCATCTCTTTCCAGACCCTGTTCTTTCTTCCAAGGTGACCACTGATGTCTCCCTTTACCCTGGGTCTGTCATTCCTACAAATTTTTCTGGCCACCAAAGGACAGTGGGATGCCCAGAACACAATTCTCCACCCCCTTCTGGGAGCCAGTGGCCAGAAGCCTGTGCTCGTTCCACACTTGTAGAATCCAGGTGAATTTTAAAATAGAATGAATGGAAACCCAGTTATGTGAAAAGTCACCTCTGGTCTTCTGTTCTGTCGTGGGAGTTAAGACCAGCTGGGTTGCTGTTGGTATCAGTTTCCGGTGCATAAGTCTCTGTGATCTGCAGCAGAAATTCTTACAACAGGGCCCTTAGAAGTCTCGTTCTCTGATGGGCTGCCAGAGGCAGAGTCCAAGGCATATCTATGCAAGCAGACTTTTTAACTGAGTACCCAGGGACTGGGAGAAAACTACCAGAAGGAACAGGCTCCACTGGCTTCCACATTTAGTCATCTACAACTGTCTCAGGTTGGAGGTGGGTTTTATTGGCAACTGGATATTCTTCTGGTTCTGTTACTAATCTGGACAGAGATGACCCCACAGATGAGAGGGAGAGCACTGGGGTCCGGAAAGGTGGAGGAAGCAGGTTGGAAGAGATTCTCTGAGCAAAAGCCCTTAAAATCTTTGTCTTCTCTCTTAAACTTCCTTCTCAGAGGGACAGCTTAAAACACCCCCTCTTTGCTAAGGAAATAAGTTCAGGCCATGTTCTTATGGAATCACAACATTACAGATAGTTCAGTCGCCTGTGGAAATTTGAAGTCATATGAATAGATTGATCAAATTTGGGATAGTAAGCTCAGGGTATTAGGTGGCATTAATCTTGGTTCTCACATCTTAAAGGGCATGGTGGCTCATTCATGCTTTGCATTCCAGCACTCAGGAGGCAGAGGCAGGCAAATCTCTGAGTTTGAGGTCACGCTGGCCTACAAAGTGAGTTCTAGGACTGCTGTGGCTACACAAAGAAATCCTCCCTTAAAAAACAAAACATAAAAAAAAAAAAACAGGCAAACAAATATATTAGATTTCACTTCTGGAGCGAGCAATGGCGTGGATCTTAAAATATTTGGGGTGCTGGTTCCATGACAAAGCACTTGCCTAGCATTTATAAGAGCCCCAGTTTGAACCTCAGGAAGCCCTTCTTCAGCCAACGCCCACTTACAGAGGTGGCACCTGCATCCGTGAGAGTCATAGCATACTCAGTATCATTGGCTCCCACTCCGAATTACAGATATTAAATAACATTTGGCCAAAGAAACAAAGTCTTTGACATCTGTAGGTATATGTATGGCTGGATTTAACCTAACTTTTCTGTTATTCCTCTCATCTTAATAGAAAACATTAACGTTTATTAGCAAGAGTAGACACGAGCTCACTTATTTCAACAGAACTAAATTAGATCGCAAGTGAGTTCTTGATTTCATCCTCCAGGATAAAGTACCTATAACATATTTAACTCTGACAATAAAAATTTCATTTATAATGTGGTGAATTACAATCTGACAGTTTGAAAAAAAAACTTCTAAATCTAAATAATGCATCTCACTGGCATTCAGAAGGAAGCGTGCTGTGAAGATGTAAGGTGCTCATGCTCACCATGTGATAGGGAGACATGCCTGTCAAGCTGGCAGCTTTCCTTCTCTTGATAGGAGAGCTCCAGCAACAGATTCACATCTGACAGATACATAGCTTCTGATCATCTAACAAACGAGATAACTCAGACTCAGAGTTCAGGTGTGTGGCACAGATTATCACCTCTGCCAACTGGCCAGCCCAGGACAGTGTCCCAGGAGAGTGTTCTTTCTACTGTTCTTTCCAGAGCCCCACTCATGCCAATTCAGCAAAGACAGGGAAGTGAAAACTGCCACCGGCCTCAGAGACACCAGCTTCTCAGAGAGATCTTTGAGAGACCTTCCCAATCACAGGTTTGGTTTATTCCTGCAAACAAACAATAGCCACGCGTGCTTTATAAGAACCCGGGGACACAATAAAAAAATGAAGGCCCTAATTGTGAACAATCTGAGATTTTTGTCAGAGGAAAAGCAAATGGTTGCTTTGAATGAGAAGATACAGCAGCGTGTGTAATAGAGGGGATGGGCGGCCTTAAAAACAAAAAACAAACTTGGCCATTGTCTCTTTGCTACTAGCAGAGAGGTCTCTAGCAAACGTCCTTATCTCCCCAAATGTATTGCCTTATGTACCAAATCAGTATGAATTATGTATGGAGAGTAGAATTTTGTAATTGTTGAAAGATGAAGAATGAAAGGAAGGAAGGAAGGAAGGAAGGAAGGGAGGGAGGGAGGGAGGGAGGGAGGGAGGGACAGATATGACACCTCTGAACTGGCTCAGTGATTGAAGGCACTTGCTGTCAAACCTCACGACTTGAGTTTAATCCCCACAAAGGTGGAAAGAGAGAACCGATCCCTGTTGATTATCATCCTCCTTTGACAGTCAACGGTCTATATGCAGGCATGACTGGAGGACAGTAATAAAAATGAGAAGAAGAAGACGAGGAGGCGGAGGAGGAGGAGGAGGAGGAGGAGGAGGAGGAGGAGGAAGAGGAAGAGGAAGAGGAAGAGGAAGAAGACAGAATAAAGGAGAGTCTGCAGGCATGTAGCAGCCTCTACCTGTCAAAGTTCACAACGCCTGGCATTCATCTGTCTTCTCACTGAATGTCAAGCGCACCCCTCCAGCTGAGTGAATTAATGGACGTGTCTACTTTGTTATAAAAGTACACACAGAATCGCACCCCTCCCCAAGGCCCTAGACCACATGAAAGAGACTCTGTAGACTTGTGTCTTGAACCTGAAAGTGTTGAGCTCGCAGGCTGACTCCCAGAACGGCATACTCTGGTGTCTCTCCCTAGGCTTTAACAGAATGCCTGCACAGCGCTGGATCCCTAGAAGAAAAATGGAGGCAGCATTCAGCAGACTCGTCCCGCTGACCCCTAACTCTGGATGGTCCTCTCTGTATGTTCACAGCACACTGTACTTCCCACACTCACTGTATCATATTGTAATTGTTGGTTTACTCGTCTATCTTGTCAATTATGAGCTCTACAACTATGTGATTCAGTGCCAGTTTCACATTTTAACCCAAAACAGCCTCAACGTATATTTCTGAATAAAAAAAAAAAATCAAACTCAGTTGGCCTTTAAAAATCAGCTTAAGGGATTGATGTTCTCCACACCCTCCTCCCAAGCCCAAGATTGCACCCTCTCCAGTTTCCCTTACAAGGAAGAAATGTCTCTATTTTCAGCTTTTAGGCCACTTAGGCATCTGTTCGGGATGTTCCTCATCGCATTAATCCCCTCGGCGAGTTGTGCTTCGAAAGAAGATATGCTGCTCTGGGACCAATGGCAGTGGGACAGCTATGGATGTACCGTGTGGTCCCTTCCTGGAGAAGGCTTAGAGGATAAAGTGGGCTTGGATAAAGGCTTCAACTTTCAGAGAGGCTACTAGCTATTAGCCAAAATATTTCTGGATCAGTAACCACACCCTATCATCAACTTAACTTTCTAAAAATTACAGTGTGGTTTTAGGACCTGGTGCGTAGCGTGCATGCAATGTTTGCTGGATAAAGGAGTGAATGGGACAAGATGGGAGTTTGGTGAGCTTTGATTGGCCTTAAGTGATGCTGGGATTAGAAGTTGAGCAAATGCTGTCAAAGCCTTTCAGGGATGAGGCTAAAAAGTTGGGGGGCACCCGCTGAGATGATACCACCTGGAGAGTTTACTAACATTCCAGACGTCCTCCTGGGAGCAGGTGATAGAAACACCGTGCCTGTAAGTAGAGGAGGCGGGGCTCTTTGATTCCACAACAAAGCGTATTCCGGGCACCTTCAAAGGATTCTTGGAGACAAAACGCTGACTAGTACTTCTCAGAACACTTCCTGCTTCTAAAGTACGTTTGGTGAAAGCTAAGCTGCCAGTTCCATTTACCTATAATCTCCATTACGGATGATCAAAATTTATCTGGCCTTAGATTTGTCTGCTTGGCTGGGTTTTATACTTGTGGAAAGGGGTTTTATTTCTACAGACTTCCATAGGTCTGGGCATGGAGTTGGTGTGGGTGCAGTATTTCTGTTTTTGTCATTGTTGCCGTTGTTTCCAGTCGTATCCCTGGGAGTGTCAGTGTGGGTCGAAGAGGGTAGGGACAACCCTCAGCTGTTTGGATGCTCTAGTCCCATTTGTCTACAGGATTCCCCCCACCACCACCACCACCACCCTTAGAATAGCCTGTGCTCTCAAAAGCTACAGAAATAAGATAAATGAGAAAAGTCATCACGGAACTCAAATTAAAATACGGGGAAATTTGATGCAACGCTGAAAATAAGTGTATATCCAAATGACAGGAAAAGAGTCCTCACCTATCCTCTCCGCTGCCAAGGGTGGAAAGGTCAGCTTTTTATGGTATCAATTCTGACCTTATAAAGATAATTCACCAGAGAGAAATACAAGAAAGAAAAGCCGAGTGCACACACACACACACACACACACACACACGCCTTTACCCTTTTTACTCAGAAGGTAAATCTAGATGTGGCTAGATTTTCACTCAAGGATGCTAAGAAGAGCCCATCAGTTCCTTGCTCTTTGGCTTGACTCAGTCTCGCAGTGACCTCCTCTAAGGACATTGTGACAGGAGGAAAGGTCGTGACACTCCCAGGTCTAGTTAAACAGTTTCGAAGGCTCAGCCCAGGAGCGCCCCCCGCAGAGCCCACTGTTAGCCAATGAGACACTGAAGTTTCCAGATGGTGAGGTACAGGATTGCTGCTGGGCCAATCAGACTCCAGGCGCGGTCGGGGGAGGAGATGCGGGGAGAAGCCTGGGGCGATGGAGACACAAAGACAGCAGCAGAAGTTTCTCACCTTGGAATGCGAGGGACGCTCCGGCATCTGCAGCTCGTACTCACCTCTGTGCGAGAGGGCCTCAGGCTACTTTCTCCACCTCATCTTGCCTAGGGGACTGCTGATAGTCTCTGTCCTTGCTTCCCTTTTTAATGTTACCTTCCAGGGGAAAGAGAGCAAGGAACAACTGGGTGCTAGAAAACTGACCCCGGGCCCTGCGGGCCTCTGGAGAAAGGAGACAGAAGAGGAGTGGCTGAGGCTGGGGGCCTCCATGCACGGGCCATGGACAGAGCAGCGCTCCTGGCCCTGCCCAGCTTGTGTGCGCTGTGGGCAGCTGTGCTGTCGCTGCTCCCCTGCGGAACCCAGGGCAACTGGATGTGAGTATGGGCTCTGCGGAGGCATATAGGGTAGGTGGTCAAAGGGATGACCTGTATCAGGGGACTTTCGACTTGAGTCTGGGGGAGAAGGGGTGGGGACCCTAGGAACGGAGGCCTAATACTTTTGGGGGTAGGGAAGGGCAAGGGAGCTGCTTAACTCAGGGGCACCGCGTCTTACAGGTGGTTGGGCATCGCCTCCTTCGGGGTACCGGAGAAGCTGGGCTGCGCCGGCTTGCCGCTGAACAGCCGCCAGAAGGAGCTGTGCAAGAGGAAACCCTACCTGCTGCCTAGCATCCGCGAGGGCGCCAGGCTGGGCATTCAGGAGTGCAGAAGCCAATTCCGACATGAGAGGTGGAACTGTATGGTCGCCACTGTCACCTCCACCCAGCTCGCCACAGCCCCCCTCTTTGGCTATGAGCTGAGTAGCGGTGAGTCACTGGGCCCCTTGGGGATGGTGGGACATACAAGGCGACTGCTTTTCTGCCTGTACCTTCGATAGAGTGAATAGTACCTGCACCATCCGGTGCTGGCGAGGTCTTCATATAGAACGTTTGGTGAGGGGAAACTGGGGCTATAAGGACCAGACCCCAGTGCGCAGGTGCTGCCCAAGAAGGGACGCTCCAAATCTACAGAAGGAATCTTAGAAGGGCTGCAGTTCTCCTTCCTTCCAGTGGCCTCTGCCAAAGTTGCAGAAAAACTATGAGTTCCTATCCCGTCGACCCCTAGGACCCCATGGCACCCCGCTCCGTGGGTGACCAGCTGGACAAACATGAGGTCTACAGCCGGGAATGCTGCTGCCGCATCTGCTTTGATTTAAGCAGTTCTGTGGCGCCCAGAGCTGCGGACAAGTGGCTAATTGAAGCACAGCCGCACGTTTTATTGACTCCTGGGAACACCAGGTTTAGTGCACAATGGTGATTTTTTAAAGGGACTGTCACCTGAGCGCGACTTCTTCTGCGCCCCTCAGTTTTCTGTTTCTTCCGTCTCTCCTCAACCAGGTGCGCTTTCCGCGGTACGGGAAAGCGCAGTAAAGGGGGAGAAAATTCTTCCAACAGGCTTGGTGACTAAGATGCTTCCTGTGATATTAGCAAAGTTAGAGAGTTTTAGGCCCCAGGCTTTGAAAGATGCGCTGTGGTTTTAAAAGTTCGTTTCCGTTCGTACTGCACTTTGACCCTTCCCCACTCAGTTTCTGCACGCGCCTCCACAGAGCGGAGTGTCTCAGCTCTGAGTTTTGCCTGGCAAGTGATGCAGAAGATCCCTGGCCTGGGAGTGGGGGGGGGGGGGTAAGAACCTGGAAGAGAAAGAAAGAAAAGTAAGAAAGAGAGAAAGGATGTGTCCTAAACAGCTGATGAGATGCAGAAGCTTTCGTTGCCGAAAGGTTTATTGGACAACGGGCGTGAAGCTGTTTCTATTCCAATCTAAACATCTGGAAAGAGAAAAAAAAAGTTGCCTGCTGAGTCCTTCCTCGTCTGTTTTATGAATGTCTTAATGGAACTTTGATTTCAAAGATTTTAACTCCAACTCAACTGCTGGAGTACAAAGTGCAACTGTTTGAAAATAGTATACTTTTCCACAACAATGCATTTTTTGCAAGTTTTCAATTATCTTCCTTTCATTAGTTATATGACTATAAAGCCAGCTGTACTGCGTAAAATGTTAACAACTCAATACCAGTGATGGTTATTGGCATATTCTCCCACTTTAAAACCTCATTTTTGGTGTGAAAGAAAACGAATAAGTATCTACCAGTTGTCTTGATTTTTTTTTTTTGCTAATTTTAGTTTGCGTAGTATCTATTTAAAGAAAAATAGCACCAAAATTTTCCGTTTGTATTTTGTGAATGCAGCACACTTAAAAAATAGATAAGGAATGTTTCCTTTTTAATTGCCATTTACAATGTCCTTCCAAAGGATTTAAATTCAACATGTACCAATAAGCTACTTCTAGCTATGAAACACTAAGGTAGGTACTAGTAAGGGTTACAATTATTTTTTTAAAAGGATGAATGGTAACATATGAGAAGAGTGGGTGACAATATGGCATGTGTCATCCCGATGTGGAATCCAGAACAGTAGTGCTATTTTTTCTAAAAGTCTAGAATGGTAGATTTCCTTTCCAAATAGTCACACATTATAGCATTCAGTGTGAATGCTTGAAAAATTGATTGCCTCATAAGACAACAAGTAAGAGGCTTAGGTTAGGACTGAACGTCAACAGAAAGTGACGGCTCTGTAATTTATCAATGTTTTCTTCCTAGGCACCAAGGAGACAGCATTCATTTATGCCATCATGGCTGCAGGCCTGGTGCACTCTGTAACCAGGTCGTGCAGTGCAGGAAACATGACCGAATGTTCCTGTGACACCACCTTGCAGAATGGTGGCTCAGCAAGTGAAGGCTGGCATTGGGGAGGATGCTCTGATGATGTCCAGTACGGCATGTGGTTCAGCAGAAAGTTTCTAGATCTCCCCATCAGAAACACCACAGGAAAAGAAAGCAAAGTCCTGCTAGCCATGAACCTACACAACAACGAAGCAGGACGGCAGGTATGTATTAGAAAATCGAATAAAAATTTAGTGTGATTGGGTAAATAATACTAGGGTTAATGCTTCCCGGTGAATCCATGCCAATGATTTAAAAGTCAAACATTGATAGTGTAAGGAAAAAAATAGACACGTATCCTATTATGAGTGTGCATTGACTATGTTGGTTTAATTTAGACAAATACCACTGACATGAGTTGAATTCTGCAGCAGAGTATATTGGTGTTGGTGAACATTGTATAGTGAAACATTATTAAATAAAAGATATACAAGTTCCTGTTGTTTTATTGGTTATCTGATAACCTGCTTTCTTGCATTTCCAGAATGGGATTTATAGTATCTATCATTTATTGGGCCAAATCATGTGTCACCCCCTCATTTGAATTGTATCATTTTAAAGCTACCGTTTAGTAGACGATTCTTAAATATGTTAATATGTTGTCAGGTTTATATTATTTTTCTTCAATAGGTGTTCTTAGGGAATCTACAAGCACTATTGTTTTTTGTAAAGCAAAAGTTTTTTATGGAAAATTGTTAATTGTATAAAATAGATTCCATTAAAACTCATAAAAGAATATAAATATAAAGTTATGGCTATATTAAAGGTAAAGGAAGACAGCTTAAAAACATAGCAATATTAAAGATAGGTTGAGAGGAGTTGAATTTAAGAACCCAGCACCTAGTGAACTCCTTTATAAATTCTGGTTTAAAAAATAGTTTTCATAAAAAGAAATATGTATGTAGCTTACTTAGCTTTTATATATTTACACTACTGACTTTACTTACAATAAAGTTTGGATTCTACAACACTGTTCAAGTTTGGCAACCAGAACTTTCTTAAAAGACTGCAGCATTTTTATGAATACATATTTTCTGTGTCATAATAAACTTTTCAAGACAGACATATCGGCATATATTGTATATTATTTTGAATTTCCAATTATTTGTCAAGGTCCCCATGTAGTTACCACCGTCTGCCACATCCTCCTGGAGTAAATTCAGACAAGTTGCAGCATCTCTTAGGAATAGTTAAAGTATATGTTGCATTTGGTTTTTTCCATTTTTGGCAAGTGAGTAATGGGGCTCATTCACAATGCTTGGAAGCTCCAGCCAGTTGTCTTTCTTCAACTGCCTTCATTGAAAATACTAAAAGCTAGAAGACTCAGTAAAATATTACCACAACTCCTGAAGTTTACATTTGCGATTCTGTTTCATTTGAATATGCAATTCAAAAAGGCAAAATGGGAAGAAGGAAGACTCAGTGAATAGGCTATGAAAGTCTGTCGCAGTTTTATTTAGGATCTTCAGAAATGTACTTTCTGCTGCTAACAGTTACTCTTGTTCAGCACGGCAGCCCTTAAGGTTTTTCCTTGTGAAAGTAAGAATGAGATGCTGATTGACTTTAAATAAAGAAATATTTGTTATTTCTAACATGTTAATATGAAAGAAGTTAATTGCAATTAACCTATGTTCCTTTAAGCCCTAGCATTATGCTCAAGGAAATCACCAGGACATATCAAATCGCTATTTTCAAAGGTTGAGAAAATAGTTGCATAAGTATTTATTATTAGTTGTTGTTTAAACACTTTGATAGTGATTTAAACATTTCACCAAAACAAAACAAAAAAACCCTCAAAAGCTTATGAAAGATCCTAAAACATTTGTATTAAATCAAATTAATTTTAGTAATAACATTCAGTTTTGTTTCATCTCATAGGTTGGCAACTGCAAATTAAGTAGCAATGTTTGAATCTATCATTGTTAATATTGGTCTTAAACTGTTGTTTATGTTTTAATTTTGTTCAGCATCAATTTTAATGCAATGTACTATTGATGAGAAAAAACTCAATGTCTCTATGTTACATAGATTTTTGCTATTTTTCTGTATTGGCAAATAACAATTCAGCACATTCAGAGGGACATGTTTTGTGCAAATTTCAGTTTCCTTTACTGAATTTTTTCCCCTCACATTGTTCTAGATGGAATTCTAAAATGCTACAAAACATTTACCTGGTTATTTTGAGAGTAATACATCGATGTTTTTATTGGTCTTCTTTTTCCGGAGGTATTATAATTCAAAATATTTTTGTATTTTTCTTTCCACTGGTAGCATTTTTTTAAAAAAAAAAGTCTAGATAAACAAAAAACCAGATTTCTCTAACATAGACGAGAAACTGACTCAGTTTTTAATATTGGCCATTATGATTTTGATCTGTCAGGAATATTTGTCTGAGTAAAATTTAAGGTCTGCATTCAATTGAGTTGGTTTTTTTTTTTTTCTAGTCTCAAAATCCCAAACTCAAAATGTAGGAAAGCGTTCAGAGAAATGTGGGTACTGGCGCTTAGTTGCACTTTGAGCAGGATAGATGATTTTCTAACCGCTGACCTTAAATACTCTGATTCCCAATTGGTTTCTGACACCATTCCTAAAGTTATGACTCCAAGAATAATGTTGCCGGGCGGTGATTGGCTGCGAGAATGATGTGATGTCTTCCAGGGGCAGAACTTCTGGGAATAATATGACTTGGAATATTTATGGGTATTTCTTTTGGTGTGCTGAAAATATTTCCATTCTTACCATGTCTACCTCATAAACTTTTAAGTTTTCCTACCCCGTAATTTGTTTTATTATGAGTAACTCAACGAAGTGGGAAGGGCAGACCCCAAATTTTCATTGACCTGTTTTGAGAATATTTATAAGTAGTTGAACAACACCACCGTGTCTTGCTTTTCAGCAGGTCCAAATGTATTTGGGGATAGAAAAGGATGACGTGGGTCAGAGGAAGAAGGGTATTGCGCACGCATCCACCCAACCCTAACTCTCAGAGTTCTTAAATCAAACAGGTCGTCTGATGGCTGACAGAATGAATTGTTGGCTACAGAATGTTCCACACCAGTTTCTAGTCATTCCTAGTAAAATCTGGACAAAGCAGTATGTAGAAAACACTCTCCAATCACAGCATTACCTTTGATTTAAAATTGGGAGGCAATGAATCCTTAAACCATCTCTTAGGTGGGGTCTGGTTTTTTGCACTGAGTTCCAGCTATACATCTTTCCTATTTCACTGCATTATAAACTTACCCACCCAAAGCTTCGGAGAGGAACCCCTGCAGATTAAATGCCACCTTCCTAACTGCTCCCCCATTGTTTACACTAAGCCCACTAAACTAGGCACATCTGTTTGCAATAGGTAACAAAACCTTCCTTTGTTAACATTGTTACAAACCTTAACAACTCAACTAGAGGAGAGAAAGGAATTTTCCCATAACCACACACAATCCATTCGGTTGCTATTCTCTTTTCCAGTTACCAGAAAATATCAGACAAACACTGCAGCTCACATTAGCTGTTTAACATTAATTAAGAAACGAGGCAGTAAAGTCACAGGGCGCACGTTTTGGAGAGTTTCGGCAAGATCTTATACTTATATTTTCCACTTTCATTCTTCTGCTTTTCTAAGATTATCTTGCTGAGTTATAAAAACCTTATATCATATATCACTAATTTACGTAAGACAAGTGTCTTAACCACATTGTTTATTTTTCTATAAAATTGGAATCACAACTAAGTACTTGCTCATTAACTACATATTAAACGAAAAGAATTTCTTGCTATAAAACCAGATCAAGTCCTCGATTTTTGAAAATCTGTTCCAAGAAACACTAATGTCAGCAAAGTTAAACCGTGTGTGTGTGTAGCCTGAAATTCCTCCTTTCATAAAATTCTCCAACCAGTTGATATCTGCTCAACTTCAATTCTGAGTTCCATCTCTGGAGTATTTTGGGGACATTCAAATTGTATGTGAAGTTCGTGGAAGTCTCCTCCTCGAAGTTCATTTATATATGTAAATTCTTGGAGAGAAAAAATATGTGTCACATCTGTGATAAGAATACTATTCTGGGCTGGGGAGATGGCTCAGCCGTTAAAGGCTAGACTCACAACCAAAAATATAAGAATACTATTTTTTCTACTTACATTAGGGCCAATTTTGATCAAAAGACATAGAATTAAAAATTTAAAATCATAATAGTGGAAAATTAGGAACTTCTGGGTTTAAAGAGTTGTTTTCTAGACTAGGAAAATCCCTCAAAATCCTAATATAAGCTTAGTAGGTGACAAAATCGAATTTGCAAATCTCTTTTCTTATTCTTGCAAACGATGAAGCAGTCCAGTGAACTCATGCTGTCTGGGACAGAGTTATGACTGAGCTGGAGGAGAGCCCATCAGCTTCTGGTCTTTGGGAAGCATTGACCTCTCCACCCCCGCCCCCCCCCCCCCCACCGCCGCCGCCGCGACCCTGGGACCAGGAGGTGGTGTGGGTTACCTCTTCTCAGTCAGGTTAGCCACTGCGGATGTTTTAAAACTGCTTTGTGTAAGTGAATGATTCAAAAGTCATTGATGTGCCTTCGACTTCGTCTTTGGTGCTTTGCAAACCAACAACGCCCATGTCTAAAGTAGTGAATAAAAGGAAGTTGGGCTCTCAGTCATGATCTGAAGGGAAGGCAGCTTTAAATCACCAAGCGATGACTATCAGGAACGCTGATCTGGTTTAAACATACACTTACTCTCAGGTCTGGGCTTCTCGCACAATTTATTTTATTACCTATACTGACTGAGCCCCTTTTTTTTCCATATCCATTACCACTTAAAATACGAACAAAGGTCGCTGATTGCATTAATTTTTTAAACATCTGTATACAGATCTCTTAAAGAAGCAAGTATTTTGTGAATATCAAATGCAATAAATCAGATTATCTGTGTGTCATACTTTATGCAATAAGTTGTTCTTTTATCACTATAGGGTGGTTCTGCTCTGTGTATTAAGAAATAGATGCATTTATTAGTTTTGAAGCTTTAGGAATAAAAATGATTATATCATATGCTCTAGAAAGGACAGGGTTTGAATACTAGTCTATTGATTGTTTTAAATGCTACCGAGAAGTATTAAACATTGTACAAATCAATATCATATGTTCTCGTTTAAGTCTGCAGTACAATATTACTTGTTTGAAATATTCTTTGTGGTTAGACTGTTAGAATGTTAGAAAAATGCCCTTCTGTGGACATCTCAAAAGTAATAGAGCCTTGGTCATTTTGTCGTTTTGATAAGAGCTGTAAGTAGAATTTAAACTGCTTTTGTGAAATTATATACTTAATTTTTAAGTCGTGGAATTTGGGTGGATTCATTTTTCATTTTGCCCAGCATGTTGACAGAATGTGAACTCTACAACTAGTCCTGACGATTTATTAATCTGCTCTGCCATCCTCTGGGGACTTCAGGAAACAATGTTGCTATTAAGAAGTTAGAGTCCTAAAACTTTAGAACCCTCTTGATTGTTAGTTTAGGCTCATTGAAAAAAAAATCATCTTAACTCTTATACCAACTTCATCAAAGATGGGAGCATTTAGACCTCAACATACCTCAAACAATGGGCTATTACAAATGTTTGTGACTTCATTTAGTGCCTCAGGCTGTATAAACCAAGCTCCACACTTACAAATAAATTTAAAACCATATTAAAGTGGGCCTCTTTTCCTTTGCTTCAGACAAGGTCCCACTCTGCAACCTAAGCTAGCCTGGGGCTCACTATGTTCCCCAGGCTACCCTCAAGTTCTAAGCCTTTCTGCCTCATTCTCACTAGAATTATAATTTCAGGCAATTCTTCTCTTCTTATTCTCCATGTTAAGATAATGCTGTCTATCCATAAAGGATAGGAGCTATGTTTTCAGTTAATTCCCCAGAAAAGTGGAAGAATTTGTCACTCTCGTTTCTTCTCCTTTAACTGAGGCAAGGTTGCTTGTGTGGTCCATTGCCAGGGCTTAGCATGTTCTCAATCCCCCTTTACCCTGTCATGTAACTGACTTTAGAGTGACCAAACCTAGGAAGGCACAATAGATTCAACAGGTATCACAACGAAGTGCCAACTATGTTATGTTCGAAGCTCACTCCAACCGATCAGATTTCAAGGGTTTGAGAAACTGATTACTTGGAAAGTTCTCTTGCTGTTTTTGTGTCCAGTGTGAACGCTGAAGGCAACTGCCCCGTTAGTGCTTTGCGTGACAATCTCCCGAAGCTCTGGTTTAAAATGTAGCTTCTCATTCTGCACATCTGGCTCAGGGCCAGGATTGTCTACATTCCTTACAAGGGATGCTGGAGTTGGTGGCCCATGAACCGTACTCTGAATAGCAAGACTTTAAATGGTATCGGAAACATGCAGGCAGGCATGTATAATCCATTCTCACCCCCCCCTCCCCCACTCCCCCCCACCCCCGAATGAGTGAGATTTCAGACCATCTTTGGTGAGTGGCAAAACTAGGTGACCTAACACTAATATATTTTATAGTTTTCATATAGCTATTTATTTATTTAGTATAGGTGGTTAATGTGTATGCCATGGTGCACATAACATGTCAGGAAGATACCTTGCAGGAATTGGTTCTCTCCTTCTACCATGTGGTTTCCCAGGAATCCAACTCAGACCTTCAGGCTAGACCCTCCATACTCCCACCTCCCCCCCCACACACACACACACATACTGTTTTAAATGTCTTGCGGGAAAGTTTTCTGTGTAGAGTAAAAACATTTAGACAGAAATAAATGACAAAATATTTGAACTCTAAACAACCTTCAAAATGGTTTATGTTCAAACCATCATTTTTATGGAGGAAAGCGTAAGAAAATTGAGTGGCTAGTTTAACTGTTTCTACTATTGAATGAAACACTGCACCCACCAATGACATTTGAACACAATCGTTGTTGGTTTTAGGCTGTCGCCAAGTTAATGTCTGTGGACTGCCGCTGTCACGGAGTTTCCGGCTCCTGTGCTGTGAAAACCTGCTGGAAAACTATGTCTTCTTTTGAAAAGATTGGGCATTTTTTAAAGGATAAATACGAAAACAGCATCCAGATCTCAGACAAGACCAAGAGGAAAATGCGCAGGAGAGAAAAAGATCAGAGGCAGACACCCATTCTCAAGGATGACCTGCTGTACGTCCATAAGTCTCCCAACTACTGCGTGGAGAACAAAAAACTTGGTATTCCTGGGACACAGGGCAGAGAGTGCAACCGGACATCAGGAGGTGCAGATGGCTGTAACCTCCTCTGCTGTGGCCGAGGCTACAACACCCACGTAGTCAGGCACGTGGAGAGGTGTGAGTGTAAGTTTATCTGGTGCTGCTACGTCCGCTGCAGGAGGTGTGAAAGCATGACCGATGTCCACACTTGTAAGTAACCTCTCCATCCAGCCTAGTATGAGACACCTCAGTAGCAACCAAAGGTGTTGCCATCTGGAGTGCGCCCCCTACTGTGCACGGCTGGGGAAGTCACTGCCTGTAAGAGTGTTCCCAGACCCCTGGGCCAGTCTGCGATTTCTTTTTTCTGGCAGACTTCACATCACAAGTTGATCATGAGGATTGCTTGGGATTCTAAAGTTGAAAAGGTTGGCAGTCGCCGTTGGATAGTTTGGGGAATATACATTGACATATAGGAAACAGCGATTTGTTTCCGAATCAATACGGAGAAAGAAGAAAAGAGAAAAGAAAGAAAAGGAAAGGAAAAGGAAAAAGGAAAAGGAAAGGAAAAAAGACTAGGGAAAAATCCCTTATCTCAGAGAACTGATCCAGGCTCAGGATAAGATCTTAGACTGTGGACTTAGAGAAATCAGTCATGGTGGGTACACATCGATCATTTTTTAAAGGCATCTCTTATAGGAGCTAGGAGCAGTACACGTGAATTGCATTTTTCCTTAGTATTTTAATAGAATTAAGGATATTGTTTGTGCGTAGACAAGAGATGCTGAAAATTAACCAAGGGGCGGATGCTTCCTTTACCCTTTCATACACTTCAGAAGCAGGGCTGTTGAAAAGATCCCCATTAAGAGATGGAGTATCCCTTTAAAGTCTTTTTTAAAAATATGTTAAGTAATAAATATAATCAAAACGTAAAAGTAAAACATGATGTGGATTTTTAAGTGTCTTTGACCAAGAAGATTTGTCTGTGGAGTAGAAGACATATAAAGTTTATGTGACTTTTAACCTTTGGATTTATCTTTTTTTAGTGTAGACCAGTTTCTACTCTTAAACACTCAATTGTAATATACTGGGAGACTCTCTAAAAGGAGTTGAAGAAAATGGAAGTAAATAGAGAAAGTACCCTTAATTATGTAAAGGCAGTATTTTGTATAGTGTTTTACTTCAAATGTTTTATATTTTGTAAATAGAGTATTTAACTTAAGTAACATATTAAAATGTAAAGACATTTATCGTTAAAGTCTGAAAGTACCCGGATAATAAGACTACATCAAGAAATGAGAATAACTTGATTTTTTTCCATACTACTAATTCCTTCTTTGAACATTGGGAAAAGGGCAGTCACCTGGATGTGTATTTCTTGCCAAAACAATAGTTTTCTTTAAAAAGGAAAAAAGTTTTTGAGACAGGGTTTCTCTGCATAACCATGGCTGTCTTGAAGAGGACAGTTTTCTGTGCTATGAATTAAAGTGTGTTACAAAATACTGAAGATCGTGTTATCTCAGTAGCCAGAATAATCGAATTCTCTTTTCAACCTTAGCTCTCTCTGCTTTTTTATACTAAATTTCACAGTAAAGGTCTCAGCTGGGAAAAAGACCTCTAAGCCAGAATAATGTCAAATTTGATACCCTGGATACTTATTATATTTTTACAATGTTGCCATTTGAATGCTGAGTGATGTTTTTCTTTCTTTTCTTTTCACGTTATTTTTTTTTTCTTTTCTTTCCATTATTTGGGGGGGGGCGTGGATCTAAGATCGGAGCCCACCGTCTTGTGCTTGCTAGGCAAGTGCTCTACCATTGAGCTAAACCCCGAACCCATTTCTTACTTTAATCCACACATATATGTTCATATTTGACAAAAATACCCAATGAAGTGTCACAGGGTTGTTTTTAGATTGCATTTTACTTTAAATGCTTACGCTTTTATACTTTGTTAAATATTTTAGAATTTTATGGAAAAATGTTTTTCTAAGTTCTGGATGGACACAAAAGGATATCCTTTTTCTTATTAATAAGATCAATATTTATCAGATACTTTGACCGATTTCCTATTAATCTTTTAAAGCAACATTAAGCAATAATTTGAAAAGCAAACCTCTGGAAGAGTCTGATGTTATAAATCGCAACTTGAACATTTACTCGTGACCCTTAAAGTCTGACAGTTACTATTTGCTAAGTGAGAATTGTGGACATGGCAAGTGAACAAATACAAAGCTAATTCGAAAGACTTGCTTTCCATTTCTTGTTAGTCTCTGTCTAGAGTGATGTGGGGGTGGGGCACTCTCATGCTCTTTTTACAAAGTAACTCTACTTTATCCACATTGAACATCATCACCCTTTTACTTTAAAAGAGGAAAACCGTAGTGAACATTAACTACTAATTAGAAAACGTCCCATTACCCTGTCAGCTGACTGAGAACCAGTCAGCCTCTGGCTCCATACTAGCTGCTAGTTAACTCTTCAGCCGTTGCATCAAAAATCCAAAGCCTATTTGGTTGTGCTCTCTAGGATGCCAAGGCAGAATTGCTCACTCCCAAGCTGTATCTGGGGTCTTTTCCTTCTTATCTTTGGCATCACCCCTGCAGTCATCCTTGAGTTTTTCACCATCTATTTTTATGTTGCAAATAGCATATAGCATAAACACAGACCAGACTGACATAAACACCAAGAAAAACATGTTGACTCAGAAATTTTTAACTGTGTCGGAAGGAAGCATTATCAGTAAGTGGCTGGCTGCCATAGTCCTTCGGCTCGGCTCTCACCATGACTTTCATCTGATTTCTGGCATTGTCTTGAAAGCCAGGCTCTGTAGCCGTGTGCCTCAAATTCTTGCCCTGCCCCCACCCTCTAGCAGCTCCAACGTTTTTGTCTCTTTGTCACATGACCACCACATTTGCAGAGCGTGCCTTCTAAAGAAAAACAGAGTTCATTATCTAGTTGAATATTTCCAAGACAGGGAAGTTTTCCTTCCCAAAAGGTCTGGCAAAGAGCTTCTGTTGATGTCAGCACTGATTGGTGTAAATGTGTTCATATTTGAGACAATCACGACGACAAATGGGGGCTGGGGGAGGTCAACAGGTATTCATATTTGTCTGATAGCAGTCCAGGCCCTTGCTGGATGGTAGGTTTTAAGTCCAACCAATTTAGACAGTTTGAGACTGGGGAGGAGGGGGTTATGTGTAGAGGGAAATCAGTGCATTAGTTTGCCAGGAAAGGGTATTTAAATGCCCACGGCCAACAGAGCTTTCCATCTCCTAGTTCTAGTGATGTGATTGTGGTGTCTGGCATCACGCAGAACTCACTGCCAAAAAAATCAAACCCAGATCTGTGTATTACATAGAGAGGAGGCGTGCCAGTAATGTATTGTTGGTTTAAGGTTCGGGGTTTTGTTTGTTTTCCTGATTTAGAACTAATAAGAGAGAATGGATCATCTTAAAATGAAATTAAGGAAAACTAAGCCAGGTATGGTGACACACATCTTTAATGCAACCGGGAAGGTGGATACGAGCAGATCCCTGTGAGTCCCAGGCCAGTCTGGTCTAGAGAGTGAGTTCAAATCTAGCCAGGACTACTAAGGGAAAGTATAGCAAACAATAGCATTATCTGTAACCTCTGGATTAGGAATATGGAAAGTATTTCTCTGATAACAGCACACTACAGAACCTATACATTCGTTGAACATAATGACCACGGCATTCCCTATCCCCCAGTTTGGCTGGTATTTGGTTTGCTCTCTAGTTTAAGGAACACACATTATACCAAGAACAAAGACATTTCATTATATATATTTACATGCTGTGACTTTGCATGTCCTTGCAGCTTTAGAACTATGTGATAGTCACAATACACATTTTGAAACAGGTATTCAGAAGCATTGTTAGCACTGGCAAGAACAGATCCGGTGTTAAAAGATCAGTACTGAACATTTAACTGTGACCCTTAAAATTCAACCAAGTTATCATTGACTAAAGGAGAGCCATGGCGATGGTAACTGAGGAAGCAGAGGTACTGGCCCTTCAGGAGTTGCTGGTAGTTTCTGTATCACCTCCTGTAAGGCCTCAATGATTGGAAAACAAGCCACTAGTTAGTTAGTCCCTTACTTGGAGCACCATGGTCTTCAATGCTAATTTGAGAAAAAAGTTCAAACTCTTTCCCCAAGAACCACAAATACACCCCAAGACAAACCTTTCTAAGAAGAGCTAAGTTGTACTGATCCTGGCTTTAATTTCAACTTCACTATGCAACAAGAGTGGCATGCCTTGCATGAAGAGAATGAAAGGGGAGGACACAGTGGTATACCACAGAGAGATGGGAAACTGTTTCCTTTGAAGGCAAACATAACTTTAGAAAACACCCTGATAGTATTTGCAGTATTGCTGGCAAAATAAATTTCATTCATAAATTTGTGTGTATGGATATATATAAATATATGTAAATAATCTTCATAACAATCCCATAAATTAGGCATTATGACTATGGCTCCATTTCTCAGATGAGGGAAGCAAATATAATAACTTCCTATCAAGTACCCAACCATGCTCACACAGGATGGACCAGCTGCAACATCTGTGCCCGCCACAGTCACACCACTCTTACTGTGCAGCTCATGGTATCAAAATTCCCAGGACTAGGTTTACAGATCCTCTGAGGGATCTGTAAGTGTAAATTACAGATGTTTCACTGTTTGGTTATATAAACTTGGTTAAGGAGCTCAAAGTGATTGAAATTAGCCTCTATTTTATATCCCAACAGGGCTCACTCTTGGATCACCCAAGATCTATCAGTCTTCCAAGAAGAAATGATCTGAGCAAAAAAAATATTTAAGTCAGAATAAAATAAATACACCTTTACAGCCAATTGCTACGCAGGGTATTCTTTTCACAAAGCTAGATAACATTTATCATTTGTAATGGTTTCTCTTCACATACAAGGAAAAACTACCAGAGAGGGATTTGCACCAGTTAAAGCTTTGAAAAGAAACGTTCTTAAGTGTTACAAAGGGAAGAGAACAGCAAATGTGGATGAAGTCGACACAAACTAAAGGTTCTTACGTGTCTTTTTAATGAGCAAGTCTGTGGAAGCCTTAATCTGACCTGTAAGAACTGGAGGCAAATGTAGTAGGGTAAAGACCCAGTTAAATGGCTGGTCCAGCCTGGGGGTTGACTGACCTCCACAGCTGCCAAGAAACATCTTAGTAACAGCCTAACAGCTGTGGTCATAACAGCTGTAGGTCTGTATCTACCTAGTTCTGGGTATTCAAAAATAAGCTAAAGTAAACCTGTGTCCCCATTGAGTCTTTTATTTTGCTGCATATTTCAATACAACTTAAACTCTCAGGCAAGCAAAGGGGACAAAGAAATTAAATCAATAATCTCCTTTTCCCTGTATATAAGCCCCACCCTTCCCTAGTCCTGTGCGCTACCCTCTCCATATCTTAAACTGCCCTGGATAATGATATTTGCTCCTCTCACGCTCTTTGCTATAAAAATAGCATACAGAAAGACAGCAAAATGGGAAAACTGAAATCAATGGAGTAGATGCATGGTCTCTGACCTATCTTCTATTTAATGAGTACAGGATAATTTCACAAAAGATACATTTCATTATTTTGAAAAAATTCTTCCTTTTGCCAACTTGAAGACTTTTTTCTCTCTTAAAATAGCCAACCTATTATTTCTTGAGATACTGTAGTATAAACTCTATTAACTAAATATAGAAATAATCTCAAACTTCTAGTTGCTGCAATACCTGTCATTGTATTATCCGTATCTACCATGCTCTGGGATCTAGAACCATAGGGACTCTACTCCACAGTGTTTCCATAAAGAGATTTTTAACAGTATTTTGAAAAAAATATACAATGGACAGTTCTGCTGGCTTTCAGCCTCACTCTGACCTGGAGTTTCCAATTTCTGTAGGAATCTAGGAACAGTCTCCCGTCCACTTATCTAGTAACATGCAGCTACCTGCTAAAGAACAGAAAACCCCTGGGGGCAAAGCACATTCTGTAGATCTCAGTCCTCACGCCTAAGGAAACTCACCACCTGAACCTCCTACTCTGTCTTCTTGGACTTCCCAACTTCTAGGCACTAGAGACTACTGGCTTGTCTGTGCACTAGACATGTTCAGATAACAGTGTCTAACATGACTAAATCTTTCCAATGCTCAGAACTGAACTCTCAAGACATTCTTGTCCATTTCCACTCTTGTCAAAGAATGCAGGTCTCTAACCAGGTACCCAATAAACAGAACCAAACAAAAGAACAGTAGTCTGTAGCCCAAATTGAAAAGTATTCATATTTCCACATTAATGTCAACATGCATAAGCAAATAAAAACGCAAAACTTGACAATTAAGTTTAAGACAAAACATTGAAACCCACACTGAACTCTTAGTTAAAACCTGAGTCCCAGGGGTGAGTATTAAGTCTCCCCTGCTTGAAAGGACATCTCTACAGAAGGTAACAATGCAGAAAAGCAAGACTTGGCAGAGAATTCACTTGTCCCTAGGTTGAATTTGTTCATATCAGGCCATATCTAAACAGTGGCACCAGTGTCCTGGATAAGCTGAAATGCATTTGAATGGCAGTTAACAGATCACAGGAAACGTGCTTAGAACTCCCCATCCCCACCCCCAGTAAACGATAACATCAATAATAAGTTTCAAATTTCCCACCGAAGATCCCTCCTTTGCCTAGGCAATCCTAGGCAAGTGAAGCCCTTTTTATCAGATCTCAAATGGTGGCCATTACAAGACATTAAATCTTGAATTCTGCATGTGACAAGGCCTGTGGCGTTCTGAGTAATGAATGAGACAGAGATCACGGACAGCCTCAAGTGTTGCCGCATTTCATTGGTTAATGAGGTTCCTGTCCAGTTCACTGACTGGTTCCTTTTGGCTTAGAACTGGCGAGTTATAAATGTAGCTGCCTGTTTTTCATCCTATCTAACCCTTGATTTGATTGACATTAAGAGTAAAGAGTGAAGGAGTAATAGGAGGAGAAGTATGTGATTTCGGAGGTGAGGGCTGACTGATCACTGGTTTGTGACAATCAAAAACCAAGTTGATGGTAGAAAAGCCATCCTGGTAAGAACAGGAAAAGTAACCTTAGACATGCTTTAGAAATGGAAAAATCCATTTGTGGCTTCTACAGAGCCACATTCATATGTATTTGAAGAGGTGGGAGGAATTGGTTGAGTGGCCAATCTTTTACCCACTCAACCAACATTTCCCCCCTATTGACTTGAAAAGATACCAAATGTATTTCCAATATAAACTGCTTTGCTCATTGAACACAGTGCATTTCTCTTTTCACTTAAAATGGATGGGGAAAGGGGGCTGACAAACAGAAGGTACAATGACTTTACCATTAACCAAATGAAAGCAAAGACTAGGAAGGCTCTCTTATTTCCCAGACATCCAATTGCATCGTCTTCCTTTAGCTGTTTTAACAAAGCAGACGTGCATCTGCAGACCCCACACATCACTGCGACTACTACACGTCACTGTTAAAGAGTTTTGATTTTAATAAAGAAAATTCATTCTCCACATTAAATGAGCATTGTTCCACTTCTAAGGCTGATGTGGACGTAAAACAGTCGATTATTGCTTCTAGAGTTAAGCCGGTACAACCAACACAAGACAGAATCCAGGCAAAACCCACTGCACCAGAGCAGTTACAGAACCAGCCCTATCCCTCCCAAGTTTACACAAATGGAAAACCCATCTCTCAAAGGGATAGCCTGTTACCAAGCAACTTAACTTCTATACATGTTCAAATATATTCAGACGACATGATATTACTGTGTTGAATGGCAAAAACTCTTTACACGTTAAAATGTACAAAAAACAATTGGAAGGGTTTCATGGGATGTTCTATAGGTGTAGTGCTTTGCCAAATACAAAAAGAAAAAGAGAAAAAGAAAAAATTTACAATGTCAAACCAAGAGTACTTATATTCAGTATTAAAAAATAAAACACAACCACCTTGCAACATTTATTTTCCAATCCCTAGAACTGTAAAGACAGGCTAAAACATACATGGTGGATGTGAGTTAGTACAGAAGCACCAGAACTCTTAAAAAGTTTACAAAACTTCTTTAAACACAGAAGATGTGTCTCCTTATGAACTACATTCAATTTGTGGAAAGACACAGTACCACAAGGTCGGTAATAGTCAAGAAGTATCTGAATTGCTTCCAACTTTTAACAAAATAGCAAATACTGCTTTTAGATTTTTATACAAACCACCTAAATTTTAGGTTCAGATTTTATTTGTTGCCTCATCCCACGAAGGGCAGCATGAACATTTCATTTGTTTATGTCGCATTTGAAGCGATTCCATACATGAGGATTTGATGTATGTCACGTACAATAGGTATCTAATGCCCTAAAAAAAAGTTAATCAGGATTTTTCAAATATTCTGCTCCATGTTTAGGCAACAGTTGCTATTATGAAGTTAAAAATAAATAACAGAATTTCATTTCTTGGTTTACAAATCAAAAGCTATGATGGTAAAGTATTCCTGTTCTAAAACCATGTGGTCAAGGAAGGCAAGAAAGGAGATAAATGCCTGTATTACTCTAAATGTACTGACCCAGTTATCTTGAATAACCTGATTAGACTGAGGAAGGGACTGGGGTCAGTCCCCTCGTTCTGTGGAATCTCACACCTAGGCTTACTCTACACAGCTTATACAAAATCACAGAATCCACATTGCTAACACAAAATCGAGAAAATGAGCCCTGAATGACACTTTACATTAATGTTCATCTTCACTGTTATTTAAAAAAAAAAACCAAAAAAACAACTGTTGTGCTCCTCACAAATCTTATATAAATTTTTGTGTGAAACATTTTATTTCTGGATTTCTTTGGAAGGAAAAAAACTAAAGACTGAAAAGATACAACAGAGGTCAGACTGTAAGGTGACAGTACACATACAACTAGTTAAAGATCTCTTTAATTTAAAGGAATCTGTCATCACATGCAGATATTTATACAGAGACACATAAACGAACAAAATCTCCTCCCTAAAAGCCATGTTATTCCATGATAGGGTTTCACAGCCACCAGGATAAATATCAATGTCCTATACAACCTGCCTGGTTACCCATTGAATATGCTTTTAGAATTAAAGTACATTATTGCCATTGTAGTCTACACATTGTACTTTTGGGGAAATGTGCTTACAAATAGTTCAGTGATTGGCTCAATGAGGACTATTTACAAAGGTAGCCATTTCTGTTAGCAATAAATAATCCTGGAATCGACAGAGACAGTCTTGCTCATGCACACCCTGGACGGTCACATGCTACTGAATATGTACACAGAGCGGCTGCTTGACAGCTCCTCTGCAGAGTCAAAGTGTGGTCCTCCTCGTCTAACGTTCCCGTCAGTCTTGCTTCTGGGGGATGCATCCTTCCATCTCGACCACCTCGGGCCATCCCTCGTACTTATTCGTGTCCTTATTGTTCTTTATGTGCTAAGGGAACACAATAACAACGCATGGTATTTAAAAAAAAGTTTGTGATCTGATAACATAGAGTAACACAACCCACCTGCCCTCATTTCAGTGACGCACATGTCAACAATGAAGTTATGTAACATTTAAGACTCTAAATATTAAACGGATAACCCTTGAGGGCAGAGTAGTATGTGGTAAACCATCAAAAAAACTACTTTTAAAGAACTGTTTGTCAGAAACTGTATACTCTATTTGAGTTCTGAGACGTTTGCAGATTCAGCTGGTTCTAGTATCAAAGTAGAACTGGAATGCTTAATAACTAGAGGTCTTTAAAAGGCCCAAGTGTGAAAATGCACTGGTATGGAAGAAGGAAATCATTAAGCTATTTTGAAGCTTCTTAAGAAGTCATCATTATTTTAATTACTTACTGAGAACTTATAAAAAACTATCTGGACACATTCAGTATCGGCTTAGTCTAATTTTCAAACAGCTAGCATGAGACTATTGTATGAGAAAGTCTCACTAGTCTACCCTCATCCGTTAGTTATGAACGCCCCGGACACTAACCTGTTCGAAGGGGCTCTTTGTCTTAATGCCCTTCCCACCACAGAAGACCCAGTTATCTCGGAAACCAAGGCTGGTGATGGAAGTGCTCCCCAGTTCAGCAATGAGCCTCCGTGCCTCATCCGTGAGTCTGCAAGAGAAGACGAAGCAATAGACACGGGGTAATGTGTTTTCTAAATACTTACCAAGAGAGTTACTGAATATGATGATGAAAACATTTCAAATTACATCAAAGAATATTTTTAAAAAATGGATTCAGAAAAAAAAAATTCTTCAACAACATTCCTACTTGAGTTTTTTAGTGATGAAAGACAAAGTCAAGAAGTTAATTAGAGAGCATCTGTTAAACATCTGCATTGCCTGGCGATTGGTCTTCCCTTAGATATTCCTAAGTACATTCATCAGAAGGAGAGCGTGGCCCTGCTAATGGATGCGTACCCAGGTTATATCCAGGTCTTAAGCAACCAGTGTTTCATTGACTCTCCATTAAAATGGCCGTAAGGACCCACATGAGAGCCAAACATTTGCCCAGAAGGCAGTGACCCAAGTCAGCCTCTAGAGAAATTCTCCAATGACAGACACCATTAGAAACATCCACGTGGATCAGTTAAATGGCGAGTGATTCCCTCTCCTGTCTGTCAGAGAGCAGAAAGGAAGCAGATGAACACTAGCTGCAGAGCCAGAAAAAGAAAACTAGGGGCCAGGTACCCTAGTTATTTGACATGAAGTCCTATGGTATGCAAACAAACAAAATCACCACCATCACCAAACCCAACTTCTATGAATGATTTAAATATATCTGCCCTGCTAACACCAAGGCAAAGTGAAAACAGGACGACTGGAGAGGAAGGGGTTGACTCACTCAGGAGCAGACCTCAGCTCTCTGCCTTGATGGGGAAAAAAAACCAAAACCCGGAAGTCTTAAACTGACTTCAAGTGAGGTAGTCTGCATTTAAGGAAGAGCTTTATAAAATATGAAACACAATGGATCACTCAGCTTTCACAAATGATACAAAGAATCACATCCACAGGATGGGGGTGGGGGGGGGAGAAATCCATTTTAAACATAGCTTGGGTAGGTTTGTTACCCTGGAGCAAGTTCACTAGAATCAGTGCAAAAATGAGCAAAAACCCCTGGAATATGCAGTCTCTCCGACTCGCTTCTGAATGACACAGTGTGGACAGATGAACTGAAAAGGACTGTAATGTCTATGTTCAAAAGAAGTCCATGAAAATAAATAACAATAAATAATTAAATCAATGTTTAAAGGGGCTGGCAAAACATAGCAGTGGTTAAGAGTTTGTGTAGCTCTTGGAAAGAACTCAATGTCAGTTCCCGGCTCCCACAACGGGTGGCTCACAACCACCTGTAACCTCAGCTCTAGGGGATTCTCTGAGGGTACCTGCATGCACGCACACGCGAGCACACACGCACGCACGCACACACACACAAGCATACATGCACACATTACTTTAAAAACTAAAAATAAAAAATAAAATAAAAGCCCATGCCATCTGAGCCTCTGGGAAGCCCTACAGGCTAGTTATGTGCTCTATTTTCTGGCTACTTTTTAAGACTTCTTTGCCTCTGTCAACACAATCCGATGAGCGGTCACACTGGAAGAATAAAATATGTTGCAATGTGGATGGCAGGCTGCAGGCTCACAGCGAGCCAACATGGCTGCCTCCTCAGAGAGCCTCAGGGCTCCATTCGTATTTATTCCTCAGAAAAAGTACAGTTTGCAATCTTGATAAAACAATTAATGTTAAATTCACAAACAACAGTAATATCTGTTCCCCTGAGAGTTGATTATCCAAATGCAAGTATGTTCCCCTATTTAAAAATATAAAAAGTAAAAATATTTCCCATCAAAGAGTTTATATGAGCATATGCACACACACACATACATACACACACATATGACAACCATCTTTCTGCCCTTTGAATTTTAGCACTGACCATTATGACCCATATGGATAAACTAAGCCACCTTAGCCAGAGAGCTAGAATCAACTAGACTTCATTAACTCCTGCATTTTGCATGGGAACATTACAATGTTCTTTTGCACAAAGCAATTACCATAAAAGACCTGAGTCCCCTTAGAAAAAGGCCTGCCAGCAAGGCTGACACTGTTAGCATCAGACACCTGAGTCTAAGGCGAGCACCTGCCCTTTCCAGAACTGTGCCTGTGGTGCACAGATGACATCGTTTAGACTGAACATTTGTTGTGTAGGTGTCTGCCACTTGAGGATAGGTAACATAGAGAGTGGTCATGTGAGCAGCTTCCAATAGAAATGCTGGGCACAGAGTAATAAACTCCCTGGGTGACAGCATTTATATAGGCTATCTTCATGTATGCCTGGATCATTTGAGCATGTCTAGTGCAACCCTGCTGGGAGAGCAACTCTTGTGGTGTGGCGAAATGGCCGAATGGGTAAAGTACTTGCTCTGACAGCACAGGACCTCAGTTTAAATCCACAGCACCCTCATGAAAGGGCATGCATGCACGGCTGCATGTCCCTGTGATCCCAGCATTGGGATGGCAGACAGACTGAACCCAAGAGCGCATCAGGCAGCCAATCTAGCTCAACTAGGAAGCTTTCAGCTCAGTAGGAAACCCCGTCTCAAGGCAGTAAGTCAGAAAGCAATACAAAAAGACACACAAAGTCCTGCTCTAACTTCCATGTGAAGGCAAGTACCTCTGTGCATATACCACACAAATGCAGGCACACACACACACACACACACACACACACAGATTTTTAAAATTAAACATAAAAGGACTTTGGAAACCTGGCCCTGATTCCCTCCAGCCTTCCCCCTGGATTCATGCCCTTGCTGGTACTGCTGTCTCCATGCTCCTGAAAGAAATCACGGCCATGAAGACCAAACCCCAACACCTGTGTCTAGGTCCAACTATAAAAATCCCTTCCCAGTGACTTGTACTGCTTTCTGATATTCCTATGTAGCGTTTGTGGGCTGTTTCAGTGTTCCTTTTTGTTCTATTCTATTTTAAGCAAAGGGTAATTTTGCATTTCAGAAGGAAGTTTAAATGAATGCAAAACAGCCCGAGTGAAAACAACGTAATATATACAGGTGTCAAAATGTAAAGCCCAGAATAATAAACACAGCATCAAATGTGGAGATACAAGATTCTTGTTCTGAATGAGGAATTGAGAGCCTGTTGTGTGTTAGTACTTACTAATGGCACTACTAGCTGAGTTCTTCTAAAGTGATGTGGAGAAAGCTAAGGAGATGCTTGGTTGCTAAGAGTGCATGAGGACCTTGTTTTAAGTCTCAACATCTCCTCCATGGAAAGCCAGTGAGGCCACATACATCTGTATCCCTGGTGCTAGGGAAAGCAGAGGCTGTAGGACGATGCTGGAGCTTGCTGACTGATAGGCCAGTGGAGAAATGATGAGTTCCAGGTGCATTGAGAGACCTGCCTTCAGGGAATAAGCAGAGAGCAAGAGCAAGAAGAGGATACCTGATGTCCTCAGGAGCAGGTACACCTATACAACCTGTGTGACACACACATAGACACACCTTTAAAAATGTATTTTCGGGGTCAGCAGGATCCCTCAAGAAGATAAAAGCTCTTGACACCAACATGAAGATCTGAGTTTGGTCCCCAGAACAGTCATGGTGGAAGCCAAAAAAACCAACTCTGGCAAACTGTCCTCTGACCTCCATATGCACACCAGAAAATGTGTATGCTTCTTCACACATCCAGCATAAATAAGTAGAATACATTTTTTAAAGGATTATACTGAATCAACTATTTTAGAGAAGACTTCATTTAAGAAAAATAGAAAACTTTACAATTCTGCAGCAGGAGAGAAGCAAACAAAGCAAGGAGACCATGTTTTCCTAAAGACATCCTAACATTGCATAGGGTCTACTTGAAATGGAAACTGGTGTAACAGGGCCCTAGATCTGAACAGACCCCAAGACCTTAGCACAGCTGACTCCATGATGGAAGTACCATCCAAGTTGCAAAACTTAGCACATAGACAGCGCTACGTACAAAAATAAAATGGATATCTAATTTATCAAAGCCCATACTTCTGGGAAAACCTCTAAATAAATTAACCCTGCCTTTTGGTTTCTGTAGTTCCCCTTCTAGATTGATTGTTATTGTTAACTGAAGTATGTTAACCTAGAACACATTTTTTGTGAGTGTGCTTAAAAACTCACCCTGAGTAAGGCTCAGAGCTACACTGGGATCCTGAATACCCAATGTGGTTGCAGGCCAGCTAATAAAGACATTCTATTGGCTTAAACCCATGTCCAAACAATCTTCTCTGCTGAATACCCCACAACAGAGAGAGGATAGACTAGAGACGAGAGTCTCCATCAGGCCCCATCTGCACTGGGAGAGGAGGTATATCCTGCAGGCCTACAACAGCCAGCCAAGCCATGCCTCCAAAGCATGAAAGGAAAAGGGAGAGCTGATTTTCTAGGATCAATTCTGATTAGCAGGGAAGAATAAACTAGAAACTATAAATAACAGGAATTATGGAAGAAAACAGTCACATTCCTGTAGAATCTGAAGACTAAAAAATAGAAACCAGAAATGAAAGACGGCTCCCCAGAAATTCTTCTGAGAATGTAGTTCTTTAAAAGCAAGCAAATGTGGGCTTTGGAGATGGCTCAGTTGGGTGACACCTGACAACAAGCTCAGCGACCTGAGATTGATCTCTGGGTACCATGGCAGTGGAGAACAGCTCCTAAAAGCTGTCCTCTGACCTCTACACATGTGACATATACCACCCCCCCCACACACACACAAATAAATAAAATAAATAAATGTAAAAACAAGCAGGCAAACAAGCAAAACTAATAATTTTCACTATATAACAATCCAGGGAGGGGGTTGGTTTCTAAATTACTGCTGTCATAGCAAGGTACTTAATTGAAAACAGGAAACTTTTGAAGCATAAGGCAAACCACATTACTAAGAACAAAGCTTTTAGCAGTATTATAGGAAACCTTCCATGTCAGAATGAAACAGATCTCAAAACCACTAAAGAATTTCTGCTATAAAGACAAAAGGAGTAGCAAAGTGTAATGAAGCAACCCTGATTTACAAAAAGAGTACCTGGATACTGTCTGACCAAGGCAATCTGCCCAAGAGGCAAGCAGTGTTTGAGCAACAGAAAAAGGAAATAGGAACTCAAAGAAGCCCAGGTATGTAATTTAAAGTCAATTTAAGCCTCTCAATCTACATAGATCACAAACACAATTTGTTACATTGTTATAATTATTATTATCATTGTTATAACCAATTGTTACAAACCCCTGATACATTCTAAGAAAGTGTCAATTGTTTTAGAAATGAAAAATGGAGATACTAAGGTGTTGTAAGTTTAGTACTGTAGGGGTTTCTTTTTATAAATAATGTATTTTGTTAAAAGAAATAACTTATTACTCTTTATTGCTGCTGCTGCTGGTGGTGGTGGTAGTGGTGGTAGGGTGTGTGTGTTTGTGTGTGTGTTCCTAAATAAACACAACATGGCCTGCATTGCTCAGGAATTGCTGCAGAAGGTAAGGCAGAAAGATTATAAGAGCCACAGGAAAAAGAAGTTTGCCGACAAATTTTTTTCTTGTTCTTCAAAACACAGTAATGCCAGTAGCTGCAGGCATAAAGTCTCACCTAACAAGCCTAAACATGACCTGAACTAAGATGCCGATAGGCATGCTATGTCAGGAAGGGGGCACTCACGAGGCCTCAACCATCGCCAACAACTACAGGCAACTACAAAATGCAGAAAAAGCCTTCCCTAGGGAAGGGCACACCAATGATCTAGTTTTTGCTTTGTTTTTAAGGCTAACAGGGCCAAGGAGATGAAGACTCAGTAGTAACATGTTGCTGGGGCAAGCAAAGGGACATGAGTTTGATTCTTGTGTGTGTGTGTGTGTGTGTGTGTGTGTGTGTGTGTGTGTGTGTGTGTGTTTTCTCTTTTTAATTGGATATTTCATTTATTTACATTTCAGATGTTATCCCCTTTCCCCATCCACCCCCAGAAACCCTCTCTCCCATTTTCTGCTTTTATACCATTTTAATTACATGCAAGTGTTAAGGTCAGTTCTAGGTGGAGGGTCTAGCAATACAATAGATACAAATAGTCAAGGAACAAGCAAGACAATAAACACAAATAGTCAACAAGCAAGGCAATTAACAAAGTCCCGTGATCACTCCCATGATCACTGTTTCTAAAAGCATACTTAAAATATTCACCTATGGCTCTGGTTCCAATAGAACACATTCCAGTTCCTAACAAAAATCTAGACTGGGAGACCACAACAGCGCCTGTAAGAATAACAATGAAGGGAAACAAGCTAGGGGGAGCAACTGGAAGGGCACAGGCGTGAGTCAAGCCAAGTTAAATGACATCTCTGAAACTTAAGCTACGTGGCAGCAGATCAGGGTACCATAATTAGTTTCCTCTATGAATTTCAAGTTAGCATCTGATAGCCCCAGAAAATAGCTGCTGTGAGTAAAATAACTAAAGAGCAGTGGGATAGCGCGCTTACTGAGGGACACTGGCAGCTGTCTGCAAAGCCATCCCTGCAATAGATTAACAGAAGAATTCCGTGAGGAACCAGGTCTCTAGTTTGGTGGCACACTGCCCTTGGTAAACATTTTTATCAAGGGCTTAAATTTAGGCACATGAATGACTTTGGAGCAAGTACAAAGCCTGGATCGTGGAACCCTCCTAGGACACACGTCAGACTCAAGACCAAGCAGGCCCAATCAGTACAATCAAATCTAACAGGAATAAATGAATATAAAGTTCCTCATTTACATTAAACAAAATCAAGTTCTGAATGGAGGGAAAAATCTGACATCAAAGGAAAAGATCTGACGACTTAACAATCTAACTTGACCAAAAATTCATGAGCCAAAAATGTGATTTGATTGCTTAGAGAAAACTAATATAATTCCAGTCTGCATGAATATTCAAAGAAATGTAATCTCTGAAACATGGCAAGTTAGCGTCTCCATTATAGCCAGTTCTGGCCAGACCACATCTGGAACACTGTGCTTAATTTGAGACACTCATTTTAAGAGAGACAATAATGAACTAAAGGATGCCCAAGAAACACAGCCAGGAAAGGAAATGAATGAGAAACACAATATGATAAGAGGTTATAAAAGAGCTATGTGTACTGAGCCTGGAAAACTAAAAGGAAAACGTCAATTAGCTTCTTCAAATACTTCAGTACTGGGTCACAAGGGAATACTTTGACTGTCTTGCTGTTCCATTTATCCAAAATAAGGAGTGCGGAACAGAATTTAGAGTCCACCCTGAGAAGACAGCATCTCCTTACTGTCTCCACAGCTTCCTAGAGAAGGGAGTGCTGGCCTCCAGCAGGTGGAGAGCCAAAGGACCAGGGCTGAGATTTAAGAGACTTGCTCAGGCTGGCTGGCTGCTTCAGCAGGACTTCAGGACACTCACAATGCAGCCTTCTCAAGATGACATCATTATCTCATTAGAGTTCTGATTCTCATTAGGGTCAGTAAGAAAAACATTAAAAAAAGAAAGATCGTGTGTGTCTAGACAAAAAAAAAAAAAAGAGCCTTTATATTAAAAAAAAATGACACCACATACATAATACCCTAGACTCTAGCCAAACCACCACACAAGTCACTCTTTCTAATGAAGAAAGCTTAATTCGACTCTGTATACTATTTAGTTTACTATGTAAAACCAGCTGAATCTGCCAGTTACATTAAGCCTTGCTTTATAGATTTAACATTAATCATCGGTTGAACCAGTTAAAAATGCACAATGTCGGTGTCGCTCATAGAATGCTTTAAAAGAAGATATCAGAGAGGAATAAAGCACATTCACTTTTACAAAACAGTGATAAGGCAGCTGAAAAGGTGTGTTTGAGAAAAACAGAAAGAAAGAGGTTAACGGAAGAGGCTTAGGAACGAACCTGCGCCATCTTAAAACCTGACATAACACAGGCGCTGTAAAGCTCTGGAAATTACAAATGGGTTTTGAAAATACAGGAAGAGAGTAAAATCACTGCAAGACAGAATTTACTACTTATCTCCTAATTTGGAGATGGAAAAGTACTTCTTGAGTTTAAGAGTCAGAGAAACTAAGAGGAAAAACCTACAGGCTCCACTAGGTACAAGCCACTCTACTCTGTTAAAAGTCAAAGCACCTTAAGTTGACAAAACTAAAAGCAATCTGTCTACAAAAACTGTATTTTTAATAAAATTAGTACCTTAATATATAAAGGATTTTTACTAATCAATATAGGCCAACTTGAATGGTCATAGGATATTTTATAAAAGAAAATGCGAAAAATACCCAAAAAGAAACTGCCTAGGGAGCATACACATAAGTTTAATCTCACAAATAATGAAACAAGCTATTAAACACACACACACCATCTAGAACTCGAAACTCTAAAAAAAAATGTACATTCTTTAACTCAATCTCACTTAAAATTTTTATTTTAAGGAAAGACTGGTTATTGAGCGTTTAAGATTATAAAATCATAACATACATTTAAAAACAATGAGTATGAATAACTAAAAAGGAATGCTTAATATAAAAAAAATACACTAAAATGAAGAAAATGTACACTAAGTCATCGGACATGGAAAGAAACTACAATGTTTTCACAAGCTATCCCTGCACGATGGGATGATGGAGCTTTTTTCCTCTTTGTGCTTTTCTACACTTTCCAAATTTCCCCAGATACACAATACAAGAAAACAAGTCACAAAATCATTATCGTCTGCTAAACTTGATGAGAAACATATAATATCCTGGGCTGGAGAGATGATGGCTCAGCGGGAAAGACTGCTAACTCTCTTTGCAAGGGACCCCAATTAGATTCACAACACCCATGCATGTCAGGTGACTCACGGTTACCTGTAGCTCCAGCTTCAGAGCTCTCCACAGGCACCCGCACTCACTGTGTGCGTGCATTCACACACGCACGCACGCATGAACGCACACACTTGCACACAGAGACAAGCACTCCTCACATCTGCACCCTTGACCATTAGTTCCACTTTCAGAAATTAACCCTAAGGTTATAAACAAAGGTCCAAAAAAGAAGAAACAAAAAAAAGTACAAAAGAAAGTTATAATGTTATGCATTAGAAAAAAACCTTGGCAGTTCAGGGGGAACTTTAACAAATGTAAGCTCATAGGACTAACTGCTCTGAGCCATAAAAATGCTACGGAAGGATGTTAGTCCAAAAAACAAGAGGAGAATGTTAGAGAAAAGCGTTTAATACTGCTACAACATAAAAGAACGTATAAAATACTCAGGCGCAATGTGATTCAAGATCCATCCTAACATGAATAAAGACAGGAAGAAAAGTTAAAAGCTGACAGTGTTTATCTACAATTACCTTATCTACTTAATAAGACTTTGGTTTTCAATGAAAATGTAGTGCTTTTTAAAGTATAAATCAGAGTTCCAAAAGCTGTGTTGGGCTTTGATTTTTACGTACTTGGTTGCCCCGTCATCGTACGTTGCCATTAACACGACTGTCCCGTCTTGTATGGTCTTCAAAAACTCAATGAACGGTGCCACATCTGAAGAGAAAGGATGGAGAACGGTCAGGGATTCCTTGTAAATAATGGAATTTCTATCATAATCATCTCTAAGAATTAATGTTATATGAAGTATCCATAAAATGACTAATTGTTTCTAATGAAAAGTGATGTCAGATAAAGATACATGAATCGTAGGAAAAGCTTAAAAACTCAAGTTTCTCAAGTTTACCTAGGGAAGGAAAAACAAAAAGAATCCACTAAACAAAACTATCAAATTTATTTCTTAAGGTGGTCTCTCTGATGCATGATTTATTTCCCAGCTCTGAATCATCTTGTGTTTTTCTTACTCATATCATCAGAGCCATTAAAAATCCATGGCAAATGTGTATTCATGGCATCATTTGTATAGTGAGGACCTCAGAGGCCTCTAAGAAGTGTGCAACTGGGTCTACAGTCCATAGGAAGCCTGATTCTGAGGTCCATGTGAGGTTTTGGAGAGCTGAGGGGGTCATGGCCTTCAATGTGAATATGTGTGCTTCTCTAGGAAAAGTAAGCCCCGCTTGCTCAGAGACATCTGTAAAAATTTTCTGTAATATGTAAAAAGGCATATTTTAAGAGTTTCTAGGTCTATCATTTTGTAACAAGCTGGGGGAAGGAATGTAGACAGTAACTAAAAGCCACACTAATTATGGCTAACATCGGTCCTCTTATGTATCAAGGCCACAGGAACTTCACAGTAATCCAGCTCAGTGAGGGCAAACTGGTGTTGCCAGACAGACTGGTCAGGTACTAAAGCATTTTCTCTCGTGAGCTCCTTGCAGTGTTAGCTTTCCTTATAGACCACAGGTTTAAGCCTACTCCGAAGCTGTATTACTTCAGGTCTTCTCTTCTTTTTTTTATTTTTTCCAACGGCAATGATTCCATGCATTTCTCTCTAATTGATTGCGTTTTACAATAGGAGCATTTTTAATGTGGAACCATAAACGCCAACAAATCATATCCATTGAAATGAAAAGATGACACTAAACTGCTATTATTTCTGAACCAGGAAGGGATTTTGGCAGAAAATCAGCTTCAGGGATGGGCAGGGAGAGCAATACCAGAGCTCTGTTTACATGCCTGATTTCAACAGCTTCACGGAAGAGTTTCTGTGTTATAAATTATACTAAGAGCAATTATGCTCTCAGAATTTAAAACTGATGGGAACGGTGTAATTTAATATAGCTCTGACAGCTACAAAACATTCTCTAAAGCTTAAATACATAACAAGCAGCATCTTATTAAGGGCCCAAGAAATATCAGACACATCAGCCTGTCTTGAAACTGTACATAAATAGCTGGCGGCCTGAGAGCTGCCAGCTTATAGAGCATATGTCAATAGGCCAGGGGACCAAAAGGTAAGCTGGGGCTCGGCCTGCCTTCCTTAAAGATGAAGAAACCCTGTGGGCTTGAAAGATAGCTCAGAGGTTAGGAGTGCTTGCTGTTCTTCCAGAAAACTTGAATTTGGTCCTCAGCTCCCACATCTGGTAGCTCACAATACCCATAACTCAAGCTCTAAGAGGCTGATGCCTCTGGCCTTCTCAGGCACCTGCATCCTAATGTGTATATACCTAACTGCAGACACACACCTACACATACCTACAATAAAAATAATGTATTTTTTAAAGAAATCCTTCCATTTGGTAGCAATCTTTGAGGGGGGGTGGGGAGGAAGGGTCAGTGCTTGTTCTGCATGATGATGACCTTGTCCTGTCCCTAGGACTTCCAAACACAGAAGAGATAAACATCGGTGGCTTGCTCTGAGTCTTGTACATTGCAAAGAGAAGTCTACACCCCCTGTCAAATATTTGCTACTGTAAGAGCAGAGTCCAAAGACAGAAATAGGATGAATTAATGTGATTATTGGCTTTCTAGAACCTGATTTTACCTTGTCTACTGACTTTTGACTAATTTTTGAGATTCAAAAACCGCACACAAGCCAATTCAGTCAAAAATTGTGAACTGGGGGGCTGGAGAGATGGCTCAGCTGCTCTTCTGGAGACCCTGAGTTCAATTCCCAGCAAACACATGGTGGCTCACAACCATCTGTAATGGAATCTGATGTCCTCTTCTGGTGTGTCTGAAGAAAGCTACAGTGTACTCATATACATAAAATAAAAAGTAATTTTAAAAAAAAAAAGCCCTGTGAACTGGTTATACTGGTCTTCCAATGTTTCTAATTTCAGGCAAAAATCTAAACAAACTCAGAGCTTTGAGTCAGGTGTCCTGTCCAACAAGGGGAACTGATGTCCTCCAAATCTCACTGGAATCTCAATCATACACAACTTTCCTGCAATAATCAAACCACATGCAACATATTGCTTAAATCTGACCGGACATGGAGTGAGGTCGGAGGGAGGGAATGTGAACAGTGGCATAGTTGATGGGTTCAGTGTCACACGTACCTCCTCCCCACATGTCAAAATACTTGGTGTCTATCGCTTCCCCTGTTTTCCCTGAAAGAGACAGAACACATATTAAATCACCCAACTGAAATATCAGTGTAGGAAAAAAAAATGGTCTTACCCAACGAGTGGCATGAACTCACTAACAGAAGGAACTGCTCGTAGAATTTACAGTCTGAATCACACACATAGATGTGCATCTGTGGCTTTAGAGCAGTTCTATGCTACACTCCAGTTTCATGTGGGGCCATCATTCTGTGAGAATTACCACCAGTACATAAACTCTACAGCAAAGAAATTATCCACCTAAAACAACCATCTATATTAAAGTTATTTTAAAACAAAATTTACACCTCATTTTACCTATAAGATCACTTAAATGGATGAAGAGACAGTAACATGTTTACTTAGTACAGAGTCCTATAATTACCATTATGAATAAAACAAACAGCTTTTCTCTGCGGTGGGTTGGGTGAACTGCTCGCAGTCTCCACTCATCCCAGACAGTTATAGGAATGTGTGGCTCAACAGAGGCAGCTCACAGGTAGCACCTTGCACTCATGGGCTGGATGCTTAAGATTTAGTTTGTAACACTCACTACGCCTAGGATTCAGTGGACTTGTTTACATCAATGAACATCTGAGAATGTGGACAGTATTGAAAACTATTAACAAATCACGGCTTTGTTCCTCCCTGTACTTATCTAACAATCTACCATCCCTTGTCATCTTACAAACCCTTGTCTTCCTATTTTCATACTTAGTAAGAGTTCTGAAAGGCAGCAACATGGTACCAATTTAGTATTAGATTAGTAGTTTGCAATTTCATAAGAAGCTTGCCACACAACGCACATGGCTACGACGTGCTGTGCCCAAGAAGACATGCTACCCATAGGTAGATTCCAAGGGTCTATCTGCAATGGTTCGGACAAGAGGGCACCCTTGTTGGTAAGGCTTCAGTGTTGAGTGGTGTCTCCTGATCCCAAGAGTAAATTTCAGTGTGGAGCATATATATACCCATTTCTCATTACACTGGTAAAGTACAATAATTATTCTTACCATTTACCAAGGCAACATTTATTCCTCTTCCCACATTATTCTTCACACCACTCATCAAACTAAAGGGAGAGAAGACAAGGCAAAAATCAGGATCAGACAGCTTATGTAAACATGTCACAGAAATAAAACGCAAAAAGGTATTATACACATACCAAATACTCAACTAAGCACACGAAAAAACATTTAACATCAAAAACATCAACATTATGATGAGTCAACTGTAATGTCAACTCAAATAATACTTTATAAAATTAAAAACTATGCATAAAGGTATATTAGCGCTAGAGAGATGGTCCAGTGGTTACAAACATGTACTACTTATACAGAGGACCAACACCCACGTCAGGAGGCTCACAACCACTCATAACTCCATCTCCAGGGGGATTGTACACCTCTGGCCTCTGATAACACCTGCACGTATGTGCACATACCCAGACACACACAAATGAAAATAAATTAATTTTAATATAATTATGGTTGAAATGCCACCCTGTTCTCACTTTGTATAATACTGTGCTGTGCCATCTGAGACATCCTTCAAGCCCACCACAGGACACGATCACTACCATTCTCAAAACACCAAAGGACAGACCCTCTCTTCTGTGGGCTCACTGTGATACGGTGAGTCCTATGCTATACAAACACTTTAAAATCTGAAGCTAGGAGTAGTGGATTAGTGTTATACCCATGTCCCCCGCCACCGTGAACATTTTCCTAGTTATTATCAACATAAGCCTTCTCTGCACTCAGAAGGAATGCTGAACTTACTAATGACCTCATTGCAGCCGCACATGTGCTGCCTGAGATAACCAGCGTACTGGTTATTAGCAAATTCCACAGCAGTGTATTGTAAGAGGGGGCACTGTGCAGGCATGTGAGCATGCGCACGCTCACACTGGCACACTGTGAATGTTAGATAGAATGTGTAGCACATTTATTATACATTCCTCATAATCAACTGGTTTTCACAGAAGGTGTCAGTGACTTCCACAGAACTCATATCTGTAACTGAACTACAGCTGCAGGGAACACAATTCTAATACATATTGAGTGACATATCTGTTTATGTAAATGAGCACAGCAAAGCGTGGAAAAAGAAAAATAATGTTAAAGCTTCATGCATCCATCCGGTGCTGAGACTGGCTGAGTGCTAGCCAGCCAGTTCCTTCCTCTTTCTGCTACAGTGTAATAGCTGCAAACCAAACATTGTGTCTCAATGTACAAACAGGTCTCATTTACATAATAAAAACTGGACTTTAAGCCGGGTGGTGGTGGCGCACACCTTTAATCCCAGCACTTGGGAGGCAGAGGCAGGCGGATTTCTGAGTTCGAGGCCAGCCTGGTCTACAGAGTGAGTTCCAGGACAGCCAGGGCTACACAGAGAAACCCTGTCTCAAAAAAAAAAAAAAAAAAAAAAAAAAAACAAAAAAAAACAAAAAAAAACAAAAAAAAAAACTAGACTTTAATTCCAAAACTTTCCTGTTAAGGGACAGACAATATCACTATAAGTCTCTCCAAAAACAGTGAGGAAATCTAAAGAAACTTCTTAAAATGCTTTTATTACCATATATAAGTATCAATGGGTTTCCTTAATTCTACATGTGTCTAGAAAGTATTTTAATCATATATCGCATAACCCTGATCCGAGTTGCCATGTCATGTCCCCCACCAGCCACTCCTATTGACCCCACTTCCTCTTCCCAACTAATCCTCTCAAACGGAACTTTAAAAAATGATCATGAAACTCAAAGCTACCTGAAAATAGAAAAAGAAATGCTAAAAATGATAGACTTAAGACCACACCTATCGGCAAGTACAGTGAATGTGAGTAGTTCAAACACAGCAAATAAAGACGGAACATGGTTATTACAGAACCATTGGTTATTACAGAACCACGCTACAAAACAAAGATGACATCAGTAAGTTCATCTGAAACAAGGATACAGGTAGTAGAACATAAAAAGGTGAGAAAGACCTATGCAAACAACCAAGCAAAGAAATATCAATAATCATCAATCTATTTTAAAAGCAAACAAAATAGACATTTCCCTATGGTGAATTTTAAAAATGCAAGACATTATCAACAATTAGATGCATATCAAGGCCTCGATGAGACACAACTTCACTCCTCCTAGATGCTGTAGTCTCTAGGTGTATGGAAGACCCAGGACTTCCCACTTGGCTGGTACAAAGGTCAAATGGGGTCACTTTGGAAAACAATCTGACAGTTCCTTTATACGTCCGACAGCTATCTGCACCAAAAGTCATTACAGTACAAGCACAGAAGAGTGAAAACACATCCACACAAAACCTATATAGAAAATGGTTCCAAAACACTGTTCTTAATAGTCAGAAAGGGGAAATAATTCATACACCTATCAACATGGTAAGGGCTACACAAATGAGGCATATCTATAATGAAAAATCATTCAGCCATGAAACAAATTAACTAATTCGAGCTACAAGGTAGATGGACCTTGCAACATTATATCAAATGAAGAAGCCAGTTATTGAAGACCACAGATGTGACACATCTATGGAGAACAACAAAACCCAACCAATCTATAGGGACAGAAGCAAACAAGGTTATTTAAGACATGTGTGTCGGGTGTGGAGTAGAATGAATACAGAGAAGGGACAGAGCTACAGGCACAGTTTCTCTTGGTAGTAAGAAAATGTTCTAAGCTGGGCCAGCAATCCCAGCATTCTAGAGGCAGAGGCTGAAGAAAGGAAAGAAAAAAGGGAGGGAGGGAAAGAAGGAGAGAGGGAGGGAAGTTAGAAAAATGAAAGAGAAAGAAAGGAAGAAGCCTCAAATGACCATGGCAGACTCTCTTGGTTCAGGTTTTACTGCTATGAAGAGACATCATGACCAAGGCAACTCTTATAAAGGACAATATTTAACTGGGGCTGGCTTATAGGTTCTGAGGTTCAGTCCACTGTCATCATGATGGCAGCATCCAGGCAGACACAGTGCTGGAGAAGGAGCTGAGAGTTCCACATCTTCATCTGAAGGCTACTAGGAGAAGACTGACATCACCAGGCAGACAGGAGAAAGCTCTCAAAGCCCACCTCCACAGTGACACACTTCCTCCAACCAGGCCACACCTACTTCCACCAGTGCCACCCCCTAATAGTGCCAATCTCTGGGCCACGGATCTTCAAACCAACACACGGAGTTTGTACAGGATGATGAATTATATTACAAACATGACAATGAATTACACTACAAATGAGTAAAGTGTAGGTATATATAAACTACATCTCCAAGCTGTTTAAACAAAAGAATATGTGTGCTGAGCACACTCCTGTGATGGACATAAGCTTCACCACAGGAAAACTGGCTGGGCTGCATCAGAAGAGGAGCACCTCAAAGCATGTGCTCCAGACCTTGGAGAAGAACATTGGATGGTCCCAAAAGACACTGGTTACAACTAATGTGTTGGATAATAATCAAACCCCATCGACTTTCCAAGTGGACTATCTCCATCATCTTGGAACATGCTCTAAATTCCAATAAACTTCAATCCATCCACAGAAGAAAGGCAGGCAGGGAGATGCGCAGTGCCACAGGCTTCCCACAAGGGGGCAGCAGCCTATCAAGTTAAACAGAAGAAAGCAGGGAAAACCCTCAATCAAGGAAAAACCTTATCCAAGACACCAACACATTAGGAGTAGTCACGGCGATTATAACATTTGCTTCATTCTTTATGACTGTGAAGGGCCCTCTGGCCCACTACACACTTTTAGAGAAAAAAAAAAGTAAGGAAATGGCATAAACAACTATATACACTTTCTAATGCAGTTTTTTATTTCATACACCTGTCACCAGCTCGGGCGACCTTGAGCATCTTGGGGGCAGCTTGCCTGAGCATCAGAAATGCGCAGAGCCTGGGTGGGCAACTGGCACCTCCACAGCTATGATAAAGAACAAACACAGCATAGGGCGCACAATTAGCCCTGTACAGACAACAATCTGGAGTACTCATCTCCACAGCGAGTTCCTGTACTCAGAACATACATATTCCAGCTGCAGGGATGTACATATTTTATTACGTACTTGCACATTTTGCGGGGTAACAGGCAAAAAAAAAAAAATTGTTACGATTAGAGACGCCCTGTCAAACAGCTGGCTCAACTAACTGTGGCTTTCTCGTTCTAGGTGAGTCATCTAATATAGCTATGAAATTAGTTTTTCAATACAAATGAGATCATAAAACAGTTAAGAGTCTGAAAATTTACTCCACAGACTTATAAAATTATCGCAACCCTTGACCTGCATCGCTCAGAGAGGTTCGTGTGTGGCCTGGCCCACTCACTACTGGAACGTTCCTCCCTTATGGCCTGTGAAAATGTGTCTCCTGTCTGGGATGTTCAGAAATGTCTTGTCTGCCTCTGGTTGTCGCCTGATCCAGAGGTTCTCAGACAGCACTGGTGTCTTAGAATCTATGTTCAATAGTCAATCTAAAGTTGGGCCTTCTTTCCTCAATTACAATCTCAAATTAGACTCCACCTTACTCAGTCCCACAAGTGTGTGTCACAGTACCTGCACAGCTGGGGTCCTGGTTGACAAACACTTGCATTTGCCAGACTGTGCATCCACGACAGGGGAAAATACATTCAATCCACACCTGATGAATGAATGGCTGCCTAGGCAAGCAGTCTCCGTACTCGAGCATTGTATAAAAACCGTGTAAGTTTTCAATACAGAAATAATTATACAGGAAAAGACTTGGGGATAAGAATTGGTCCCTGCAATCTCCCTACTAGAGATCCTTGGCCAATTCCGAAGCCCTTCTACAGGGAGCAGCTTCCTGACCTGAGGTCTAGCTATAAAATTTCATCAATTATTAATCTCTCGTAGGAATGGGAGAATGAGTCTTGAAATGCAGCTGATTAGTGGGCAGCCTCAATTTCTTGGTCGAACACACTACAAGAGAGTACAGATCCTACATGACATGCCCACCACGCTAGAACCAAAAGCTCTGGCTGCCAGCCCGGTACAGTTATACTAAGCCCTTCTGCCAACAAACATTTATCTTCTGACCTATGTAACTGCGGTTGGAAAAGCGGCTTTGGAAAAGGGTTTAAAGTCCTCCTTGCATTAAACTCCGGGCTTCAAAGAGGCAGAGTAAAAGTCAGCAGACTGTCTGTGGGCGAGATATCCAAAAGAACTTCCCTCCTGTTATTTAGACTCAAACTTGAGGACTCTTTAGTGAGACAAAAGGGAGTGTTTCTAAAGACCTAGAGACTTCCAAAACGTGCACACTCTGCTGTGTCATTAAACAGATATTGAAAAGTCAGGATGTAACTGACAGGCAGTGACTGCCCATTAGCATGTGGGAAAATGGGCAGAGCTTATAAGCATCAATTTTCCAGAAAAGTGTTTTGCACGAGGCCAATCCTTTCGTAGTTCACTGAAATTTTAATTTAAAAACTCTACCTAAAATTTATAATACATAAAGAGCTGGGAGAAAAAGCCTGGTCTGTCCTTTTTAACTGTAAGCCCATCTTACGATTTAGACTACATAGCCTGACGTCATATCCATTATTTTACACGAATGCCAAGTGAGCTCATGTCCCTAAGTTTTCTGGGCGATCAGATGAAGAACAACTAAAGAAAGGTTTTGCAATGTCAGAGGCAGGAACTTGTGACAGCCAACAAGGGATGATGACAAGCCTATGAGCATCCCGTGGGGAGCACTGCAACCCAGGAGTTGCTCAGCTCAACCCAGAGCAGTGTGAGTGCAAAGGGCCTGTGGTGATCACATTGCCCCTCAGCAAACAGCACCCAACCAAGACACTGGCCTAAGATGTGAACCATTCATTGCTCTGGGAAAAGCCGTCAATGGGACTTTGCTCTGACATAAATTTTGTTTGTTTTTTTGCTTTTTTGTTTTGTTTTGTTTTTATGGGATTTGTGATCAACAGCTGTGTGAGGACACTGAGCACTTGAAATATGCCAACTAGAGAAATGTTTTTATTTGAATGAATTTAAATGAGGTTTTTTTTTCTCCTAATACTTCAGAATCAAATGAAACAGCCACCTGCATCCTTATACAAAGCCAAATAAATGCAGGTCTCTTGGTCACTCTCTTTAATGTACAGGAGAGAAAATCATACAATGATAATCAAAATTACAGGCTGTTAGTAAAAGCATTTCAGAATGCCATCACCCCAAATCCAACGACTGTCACTGAATATTTGACTTCCAGCTGCAAGCATCTGATACTCACACACTGTCCTCCAGGCAGATCTTGGGTCCCACTACATTGGCTGCTCCACTAGCCATTTTAAAAGCAAAATGCTTCTCCGGGCACGCTTTTGAGATCCCACATTTGTACCTTGGAGGCTTCGTAGCTTCAGGGAGAACAGAAATACATTTGAGATTCTTTAGAAAACAAATTAGGTAAGATTTCATCATCAGATAGTTTTAGATCTCAAACACACACATATATATACACATACACACACACACACACACACACACACACACACACTAAGGTACACCTAGTTAGGGGCTATAGGGAGGGCTCAGTGATTAAGAACACTGGCTGCTTTTCCAGAGGACCCAGGTTCAATTCCCAGCACCCACATAATCATCTGTAACTCTAATTCCAAAGAATCAAATGCCCTCTCCAGCCTCTTTGAGTGCCAGGAACACATGTGGTGCGGGTACATACATGCAGGCAGTACACCATACATATTTTAAAAATTAGTTTAAAAAGGAGAGATACATATACTTTAATATAAATAAATAATAAACACTTTTAAAATCTGTCAGAACGTTTTTCTCTACGGGTATCAAAACACCAAGGAAAGAAGGAAGAAAGGCAAAGCTTCCAATAAAAAAAAAGGCTCAAGGGCACAACCCAGACCCTCCTGAGGAATGAGCTAAACTGACAGAAACAGATCATACCATATGATCTTGCTAAGCAAGGTGGATTTTATTTAATTATTCTTGAAGTTATCTTTAAATTTCATGGTGCCTGAGGCTTTTTAATTGGTTCCTTTTGCACTGTCTACTCCAAAACCAGGATCAGTGAAAGTTTGGTCCATCTATCCATCCATCCATCCATCCATCCATCCATCCATCCATCCATCCAGGTATCAGCTGACTCTTCTATTCGCTAAACATCGTCTGTGCTTACACCATGGGTCGAAACACAACTGAAGAGCAAACGTCCACTGAGTATGAAGAACCTTGATACTAGGCCATCCAACTCAACTTGTCTCCTTTGTGGTTTGTTCACAACCTGTCCACACTCCTTGGCTAAAAGCTTTCACATGGCAACACACAAGATAAAATACTTATAAAACACCAAGATGAGGGACTTACAACGAATGGCTGAGTCCAGCGCGGATCGAGCTAAGGAGACAAAGAGTTAACAATATTAGAAAGCACAGGCCCGCTGGCAGCTACCTACTTTCAGCATATTGAAGCTTCTAAGAAGCCTATGCAATGTGTGTCTCAATGACTGCTCATATACAGTAAACACCAATATCACTTCAGAGAAGAGGTACTTTTCCACTGCGTAACTCATTATGGGCAAGTGTGTGTTGAAATCACGGAGAACAGTGTTTTATTACTGATACGTCATTTTAAACTTTGTATTTTATTTATTTACTGCCAGTTTGACTCCTATTCAAAAAGTTAGCCTGAAAATAAATCTTTCAAAGACTACGGACTTGTGTTAGCAAACATGAGAATATTTAAGTGCAGCTGCTGCTACACGGTACTGGGCAGCCACACAGCCCTGGACAATGCTCATACACCCGTCTTGGGGGTTTGGCAAGGCTTTGGAAGGACCACAAGATGGTAAATGCTGGGCAACCTGAATTTCTCAGAACAGAAGCGTACTGGGTATGATGATATTAGCGCTGTTTCTGAGAGTTTATCAGTTCAAGGAAGGGCGAAGGTCAACTCTTAGCCCCCACAGCTGGTCTCAACTGTCCTTCGGTTACGATTAGTACTCTGTAACGCACCAAGTGTCTGATCCCAGTCCAAGAAATGTGGACAAGGGTCATCAAAGTACTGTGGGCAGCTGGCTCCTGATTTGGCTAATAAGTATACAGTGACAGAAGCTGGCCAGCTGTCTAACTATAAATAGACACTTAAGTTTTAACTTCTGTACTATTTTTGATAACTGTGAATTTCCTGTAAGTCAACTATTCAAATTATGGAACAGAAAGTTAAAGCCGAAAGAAGAGTGCCTAGATGTTTAAAGAGAAGAAACTAAGTCAGTGGTGTCAACTCTCAGGAGAACACTTAGGAGAATAGTAGGCACCATTAAAGTCACACGGCTATAATGTTAGGAAAGAGTAATGCACGGGCCACAGGAAAACAGCCTCCCCAACACCATAACCTAAGCACTGAGATGATTCCCATGGAAAGACAGACTCCAACAAGCAAATAACAAAACAGAAAAAGGGGAGGGGTAAAATGAGGGGAGCAACCATACACTTAGGCGCTGGGGTTTCTTAGCTCACTCTTTCCATCTCCTGGTATAATGACAGAGATTTGATCCGATGCTTTCACTCTTTCGAATGAGAAAACTAATCCCCAGAGCAAAGTCAGTAATATGAAGACTAGACGTGCTCAACCTCAGTCTGTCTTTAAAAAGAAAAAGGATGTGAAGGCACAATGGGTAGGGGGCTTGACACCAGGCCTGGCAGTCCCAGGATCCAGATGCTGGAAGGAATGGCGGTCCCAGGATCCAGATGCTAAAAGGAGAGACCTGACCCTCCCAGGTGGCCCTCTGACCTCCATTTATGTGCATGTGACTGACACTCATATACAAACATATATACAAACATGTATACAACACACACATACCAGCACCACTACCACCACACTACACACACATCACACTAATAAATGCAATTAAGAAAAAAACAATTAGCCAGGTGAAGGCACATGCCTGTCTTTAATCCCAGCACTCAGGAGGCAGAGACAGGTGGATGTGAGTTTGAGGCCAACCTGGTCTATGGACTGGATAGCCAGGGCTATCCAGAGAAACCTTGACTCGAAAAACAAAAACCAAATGTAATTAATTAATTAACTAATTAATTAAAGAAAAGAATCTATCATCAGACTCAGGGGTTTTAAATTCCTAGAAAGAAGCACTGTTTAAATCATGAATTCTAGTCTCCATGACCTGTGCCGGGCTAATTAGATGGTACGTCATCTGGTCTATTATGGTAATAAGATACTGGAGAGGAAGAGCTGAGCAGTGCTAAAACACCGCCCAGTCATTCCTATGTGCTAGCTCTGTCAAGTACTTCTGGGTGGTTACTGACAAGGTCATCGAGTTTCAGAGATAAGGAAACCAAGCACAGAGCAGTTAACTGGTACGTCCGTTTTAGGTCATAATTGTAATTGGTGGATCTAGCTTTTAGTTTTTAGTTTATTTTTAATTTCTCCTTACATTTACTTATTTGAAGTATATGCATAAAATGTATATGCATACTGTGTATACGTGTGGATACAGGCATGCCAAGGGACACATGTGGGAATCTCAAGAGGACAACTTACAAGAGTCAGCTCTCTCCTTCTACCATGTACGTCCCAGGGATGGGACTCAAGAAGTCAGGCTTGATAACAACCGTTATTTCCCCCGCTGAGCCATCCTGCCAAATCTAGTCCAGAACTAGATCTTAAAATCATCCCATGTAGCACCCAGGCTGGCTGTACCACTTCTAAAGGATGACTATGTACAGAAAGAACACCAGTCATTCGCAGAGCACAGTAGCAGGTTAGGGACCTTTAAAATAACTCTTCTGACTAAAGAGGTTCAAGCCTGAGTCTATCTATCAAAGACCCTGTTAATATCATCTAGGCTTTTTTTTTTTTAAAGAGCCAATTCCAGAAAATATGAGAGGTGTTGACTTTTTTTTTTTTTTTTAAGCAGGCAGCCTCAGAGAAGGAAGGGCTAAGTAACAATAGGGCTGGGGGGTTGGCTTAGTGTTTAAGAGCACTTACTGTTGCACAGGACCTGTTCCATTCCTAGTATCCACATGGAGGCTCACCATATCCTCAAGTACACAGATGTACATGAGGGCAGAACACCCACATACATAAAACAGTAAAAATAGATGTTTAAAAAAAAACCCAGAAAGGATCAAATCATTTTGCTTGTTAAATTTCAGATGCCAAACTGGTAACTGCTACTTAGTTAAAAACAATGTCATGGAAATCCGTTCGTTAGTCACTAGGCTTCTGGATAAAATCCCTCCATGGAACACGTGTTAGCCGATAAGATGCTTGAAGGCAAAGAAACCTCTCAAGAAGCACTTTTATACAAAGTTAGTTTATTTGTATCCAATACTCATCAAAACTGAAAGATTTTCCCTTGGGCTGCAATTATGAGAATGAGAACCTGCAGGCAAGCAGATGACCTAATGACCTAATTTTCATTAATTAATACAGGGCATTGTCAAAGTGTCAGGCATAAGCACAACTTGGAAGATAACAGCCCCTCTTCACCTGCACGTTTTACTTCTGACTCTAGGTAATAACCCCAGTCTTTAATTTCGTTTAGACAATACATCAAGGGACGGGTACAACCCTGTCTGATTCATCAGACTTCAATGAATGTCCTTCAGTTAAGTCAGACTATAGGATTAGAACAACGTTGTACCTAAGCTTTTAATACTGTCTAAAGTAACCTACACATATAATACTGAACAATGGCTCAAACACCAAAGGCTAAAAATAATTAGGTCCACAAATTCACTGCAGCAATGTCTGTAGAGGTAATATGGACTTCGTTCAGTTCTGTACTAGCTAAATACCCATGCGGAAAACTAACACTGCATTAAATCACGGAAGTCTATGTCCTGCCTGTGGCATTTTACAGTTCCTAAAATGTTACTAATGGGAGGAATTATAAGTCAAGGATATCCACAGTCTCTAGGTATTATTTTTGCAAAAGGAGTGTGACTCGATAATTCCTTCAAGATTAAGTCTTATTTTAAAAAAATGGAGTTTGTGTATTTGGAGGTGGGATGTGCTGGGGATTGAATCTAGGTAAGCTAAGCAAAGTATTCCTGCATTTTACCATTGAGTTACATCCTCATGCCAAAATACCAGGTTTAAGTGGTTAGATTTTTTTTTAGTTGTTGTGGTTCTTTGCCTTTTAATTCTTATTTTATTCTTTGAAGTCACAATCTATCTCGGTAATTTCAATCATTAACTGTAGGCAAATTGTTCATTCTTCCAGTCTAGAAATGTCTATTTTATTTTTCTAAAACAGTATAATGTAAAAAGTCTGAGACAATGAGTCAGGTTTAGTGGGGACATGCCTTTAATCCCAGCACATGGGAGGCAGAGACAGGCAGATCTCAGAGTTCAAGGCCAGCCTGGTCTACAGAGTGAGTTCCAGGACGGCCAAGGCTACACAGAGAAACCCTGTCTCAAAAAATGAACAAACAAAATGCATCAGTTGGGTTCTTTTCCTTCCCTTGGTTTGCCTTGTCCAACTTCAATGAGATGATTTTTGTTTCATCTTACTATATTTTATTTTGTTATGCTTGGTTGCTATCTTTTAGAAGCCTGTTCTTTTCAAATGAAAGACAGAAATGAGGTGGGTAGACCTGGATGGGAAGAGTGGAGAGGAGGAACTGGGAGAAGTAGAGGGAGGGGAAAACTGTAATCAGGATATATAGTGTATGAGAAAAGAATCTACTTTTAATAAAAAAGAAAAAAAATGATCTGTTCAAGCTATTAAGTTATTACAAAGGACAACTAAAAGGAAACTCACCACTGACTGAACTGTAGTGACCACTCTGGGTAACTAGAAACCAGGCTCCTGAAACCAATGTAAGGACTAACATATTCTAAACAGGAAATCAAACCAACCCCACAATTACTATTTACAGCAGTTCAATGTAGACTGAAATCCAATAGATAAGAGTTTATAGATAAAATTCACTACAGTTGCAAGATTAAAGCAAATACCTGCTCTAAACAGTTCCTAGATCAAACAGGTAAAACACACATGATAGGAAGGTCCCTAGCAATATGAAACACGAGAATGGAAATTAGGAGAGACAAGTTTCTAGTTAAAGTACTAGACATGGGCTCATTTTAACTGGCAGAATCACATGCCATATCCCAGATACTGAGTCATCAGGATGCTCTGAAGAGTATTTGACATAAAAGGTTAAGTGCTGGTATGTAGCAGAATCTTTGATGCAAGAGGAAGATATGGGTCAATGGTACAGCATTTGTCTGGTATGTGCAAAGCCCTGGGTTGGACTTCCAATGATTCAGAAGAGAGAGAAAGTGTATGGTGGGCATGGTGGTGGTGCACACCTGTAATCTTTGCACTTGGGGAGTAGGGGAGGCTGAAGGACCACCAGGGCTACACAGTAAATTCTGAGACAGCCTACAGTGCCACAGGAAAACCAGAGTACACTTCTAGAATAGGAAAATGTGAAAATAAAGAAGATATGGGATTATCTAAAATAGACTTAAATATACCTGGTTCCATGTTGTTAAGTTGAGGGTTTTGTTAGATACTGAATTAAGAAAGTAGAGAGACAGGTGGATTTCTGAATTCGAGGCCAGCTTGGTCTATAAAATGAGTTCCAGGATAGCCAGGGCTATACAGAAAAATCCTGTCTCGAAAAATGAAAGAAAGAAAGAAAGAAAGAAAGAAAGAAAGAAAGAAGGAAGGAAGGAAGGAAGGAAGGAAGGAAGGAAGGAAGGAAGGAAGGAAGGAAGGAAGGACAACACTGGTAGAGAACTTGCCTAGCATGTGAAAGGCCCTGGGATCCCTAGTACTGAAAAGGTAAATCTGAGTCAAAGGACCTTATATGGGTACATTTGCAACATAAAAACACTAAATATGTGGGCAAAAAATGAAAATCGCCAGAGAAAAGAAAGAATACTATTAAGGACCAACACTTATGATGCACTTCTCTGACTCTTATACAAACTAGATTTGGGTTCATTTTTCAAGCAGTTAACTCAAGTGAAGAAACAATTTCAACATAGCAGTGTTGTTGTCTTTTCTACAGTGAGCACTTCAGAGCCATGATTAATGCTTCTCATCATCATGCAGCAAATAGTCATTAAATATGTTTAAAAAGTCAAACAGAAAAATGGAATGCTTCATACTGGCTTTATTCTGAGATATATTATGTTTTTTAGACTATTAGATTGAATGACATTTACTCAGATAATAACTCTTTTTCTAGACAGCCAAAGCATTAGTAAATCCATGCTAAGAACTTACACTTTGGGCAGTCATGCTAAGAATAAAACAGGTATACAAGGCACATACCTAAACAAAATAAAGGCAATACACAGCCAACATCAAATTAAATGGAGAGAAACTTAAAGCAATTCCACTAAAAACAGGGACAAGATGAGGCTGCCCATTCTCTCTGTATCTCTTCAATATAGTACCTGAAGTATTAGGAAAAGCAATAAGACAACTAAAGGATATCAGGAAATACAAATTGGAAAAGGAAGAAGTCAAAGTATTGCTATTTGCTGAAGATATGACAGTATATGTAAGTGAACCCAAAAATTCTATGAGGGAACTCCTACAGCTGATAAACACCTTCAGCGAAGAGGCTGGATACAAAACTAACTGAAAAAGATCAGTAGCCCAACTCTGTATGAATGATAAACAGGCTGTGAAAGAAATGAGCAAAACAACACCCTTCACAATAGCCACAAGTAATATAAAATACTTTGGTGTAACTCTAATCAAGCAAGTGAAAGACCTGTATGACCAGAACTTCAAGTCTTTGAAGAAAGAAACTGAAGATCTCAGAGGATGGATAGATCTCCCATGCTCATGGATAGGAAGGAATAACATAGTGAAAATGGCCATCTTCCAAAATCTTCAGATTCAATGCCATCTCCATCAAAATTCCAAGACAATTCTTTAGACATTAAAAGAAAAATACTCAACTTCATATGGAAAAACAAACAAACAAACAAACAAACAAAACCCAGGATAGCTAAAACAATGCTGTACAATAAAAGAACACCTGGAGGTATCACCATCCCTGATTTCAAGCTGTAATACTGAGAAATAATAGTAACATCTACATAGTACACACACACACACACACACACACACCAACAGACAAGTTGATCAATGGAATCTAACAAACTAACTGAAGCCCTAATGTAAATCCACCTACCTATGCACACTTCATTTTTAACAAAGAAGCCAAAATCATACAATTGAAAAAGAGAAAGCATCTTCAACAAATGTTGCAGGTCTAACTGGATGTCTGCATGTTGAAGAATGAAAATAGACCCATATCTATCACCCTACACAAAACTCAAGTCCAAGTGGATCAAAGTCCTTAACATAAAACCAGATATACTAAACCTGATTGAAGAGAAAGTAGGGGATAGCCTTGAACAAATTCACATAGCAGACAACTTCCTGAACAGAACAGCAATAGCTCAGGCACTAAGGTCAACAACTAATAAATGGGACCTACTGAAACTGAAAAGCTTCTATAAGGCAAAAGATATCATCATAGGACAAAATGGCAACCTACAGAACAGAAAAAGATCTTCATCAACCTCACACCTGAGAGAGGGCTGATATCCAAAATAAATAAAGAACTCAAGGAACTAGATATCAACAAACCAAACTAGAGTACAAATCTAAACAGAGAATTCTTGACAGTGGAATCTCTAATGGTCGAGAAGCCTTAAAGAAAATTTCAACATCCTTAGCCATGAGGGAATACAATTCAAAACGACTTTGAAATTCCATCATACCCTGGTCAGAATGGCTAAGATCAAAAACTCAAGTGACAGCACATGCTGGCGAGGATGTGGAGCAAAGGGAACATTCCTCTGTTGCTGGTGGAAGTGCAAACTTGTACAGTCACTTTGGAAATCAATTTGGCAGTTTCTTAGAAAATTGAGAACAGTTCTACCTCAAGACCCAGCTATACCACTCCTGAACATATACCTAAAAGATGTTCCACTATACCACAAGAACACTTGCTCGACTATGTTCATAGCAGCTTTATTCATAACAGCCAGAAACTGCAAACAACCTAGATGTCCCTCAACTGGAGAATGGATGAAGAAAATGTGGTGTGGGGGCTGGGGAGATGGCTCAGTAGTGAAGAGCACTGACTGCTCTTCCAGAGGTCCTGAGTTCAATTCCCAGCAACCACATGGGAGCTCACAACCATCTGTAAATGGGATCTGATGCCCTCTTCTTGTGTGTCTGAAGACAGCTACAGTGTACTCATATAAATAAAATCAATCTAAAAATAATTAAAAAAAAAAACAAAAAAAAATGTAGTGCATTTACACAATGGAGCTATTATATTCAGCTATTAAAAACAATGGCATCGTAAAATTTGCAGGCAGATGGATGGAACTAGAAAAAGATCATCCTGAGTGAGGTAACCCAGACCCAGAAAGACAAAGATGGTATGTACTCCTGATAAGTGGATATTAGCTGTAAAGTAAAGGATAAGCATGCTACAGTCCACAGACCCAAAGAAGTTTAGCAACAAGGGCGGAGGGAGTATAGACCTGGACGAATTAATACCACTGAGCAGAGAAATAGAATAGACCTTGGGGAGGGGGGAGGGGGACAAAAGGGCCCCCCGTTGGGGGGTGGGGCGCACCGGGAGCGACACAATCCGTGGGGGGGGGGGAAGGGGTATCTCTAGGATAAAATCAAAACCTAGGGCAATGGGAAACTCTCTCTGTGAGGGTGACTCTAGCTAGGACTCCTCCTAGTAATGCGGGATATGGAGCCTTAATCAGCCTTCTACCTTAACCAGACAAGATTTCTAATGGGGGGGGGGGGGTATTAGGACATCAACCCAAGCATAAAATCTTTGACCTATAATTTGTCCTGCCTATAAGATGTGCAGGAATAAAGATGGAGCTGAGATCGACAGAATGGCCAACCACTGACTTATCCAGCGTGAGCCATGAGAGAAAGCCCACTCCTGACACTGCTAATGGTATTCTGCTATACTTTCAGATGACAGGAACCTAGCATAATCATCCTCAGAGAGGCTTCTCCTAGCTGATGGAAATAGATGAAGAGACCCACAGTCAAACATTAGGTGGAGCTCGGAGAATCCTGCAGAAGAGGTGGGAAGGAAGGCTTGTAGGAACCAGAGGCATCAAGAACACCACGAGAAAACCTACAGAATCAATTAACCTAGGCCTCTAGAAGCTCAGAGACTGAACCTCCAACCAGGGAACACACATGGGACTGACCTAAGCCTTCTCACCTATGTAACAGTTGTGTAACTTAGTCTTCATCTGGGACCCCTAACAGCTGAAGCAGGGGCTGTCTGTAACTTTGTAACCTGTCTTTGGGACCCTTTCCTCCTACTGGGCTGCCTCATCTAGCCTCAATAGAAGTTGCTCCTGATGTTACTGTGACTTGAAATGCAAAAGCTGGTTGATATCTATGGGAGGCCTCTTCTTTTCTGAAGAGAAAAAGAGGAGTGGATGGGGAAGAAAGGGAAAGAACTGGGAGGGGAGGAATGACAGAAAAGTTGATCGGGATATAAAGTTAGTTAGTTAATTAATTAATTAATTAATTAATTAAAAAATAAGAGTCTGGGGCTAGGAGATAAGAGTCCTGACTGCCATTCCAGATTACCCAGGATCTACTCCTAGTACCCACACATCAGCTCACAACTGTCTGTAACTCAAGTTCTAGGGGATTTGATGCCCTCTTCTGGCCTCCTCTGGCACCAGGCATGTATATGGTGCACAGCCATACATGCAGGCAAAATAACTGTCCACACACACAAAATAATAAACTATTTTTCTTAAAAGAATGAAGTTGTTCTACAGTAGGTGACAGCTAATTCAAGAAACTCATACCTAGTCAACGTGCTACAAGAATATGACTGTTGAGCCCTCAGCCCTGTTCAGGACACGTGTACCATCCTCGCTGAAAGCTCAGGGAGCCATGGAGAAGAGAAGGCAGAGAGAATTCAAAGGGGAGGGGAACTAAAAAGTGCTGTGTCCGAGGTCACAGTACTCAGGAAATCACACCAACTGTAACTGCCTGCAGAAGACCAGACAGGAAATATTCAGTCACTGATGGGGCGGGAACTGTGATATACTAGCTTAAACTGACTAGGTTGGGAAAAAAAAAAAAAAACATGAAGTGCAACTAGGAGGGTGTGGACTGGATGGGAATAGGAGTGGGAAGGGGGTAACAATGTAATGGGGTGTTCACAATCAAAATACATGTATGAAATTGTCAAAGAATGTTTTTTTACAAAGAGGATAAAGTTTGTACTAAAAAAAAAAAAAACAGAAAACAACAAAAAGAATAAAGTCATTTAAGGTGGGGGGGATAGGGAGGGTGTGAAACTTACCAAATAGATTTCCTAAACTTGCATCCATTTTAATTTCAAATACTTGAGAAATAACATAGAAGGTCAGTAAGAATACTGCCACAGCCACCACCAACTTTGCGGCTCCTGGAAAAAAGACAGAAGCAACTCAGCATGGTTTTATAAACTAATGAACGGTACTTCTGCTACACAGATACTACATCCCTACAAAAGCATAAAGATGAATATAGTTCTATTTTGTCATCCCCTAGTCCTTAATGTTACTGGGGTTACAATGACTTTACACACCAAGTCAAGGGATTTTTTTCCAATCAACTCTCAGAAGGAAGACCCGAGATGCCTGTCTAGGGGGATTTGGAGGGGTGAGGGGGTGGGGTATCAGCAGCTAGCTGACCTCAGGAGTCTTGGTGAATGGAACACTGCCACATGCCTGCAGGACTACATGCTCCTAATCGTTCTAATCACTAAAGAGCAATGCTGTCCAGGGATACAAAACACTAGACCTTCTGGAGATGCCAAGGCCAGGACATGCAGGAAGGAAAGAATTGACGAGAGAAATGCAGCAAGTTTACTGTCCTATCACCAAGCCATCTCCTGGAGCTCCCTAACCCCACGGGGAACCACAAACACCACCTTCCTCCTCCTGCCTAGTGCCTAGGTTAAGACAGGACTTTTCCCCTGAAGGGCAGGCTTGGAGATCACAGTTATTGGCTGTGTGATAAGCTCTAGGAGTTGCCTGCTCCCCAGCTTTTAATTTTGTATCTTTAGGGTGTCAGACTACCTTTTAATAACCATCATTGCAACATCTGCTTACTATGACTCATCTAGCACTCCTAGGCAACACTATGGAGCAAATCACAAAGTGCAAGGTAAAAAGGGAGTGGCCCAGTGTCAGAAGCTTCCCTCTCAACCTCTGGACTTCAGAGACATGGAGTGTTTATTCAGAAACAGAATTAATATATTTGTGTCTTAGCCAATCTCAATTGCTCGCTCATACTAATGGTTCAGGTTTAATCTCTATTGATGGGAAAAAGGTAGATGAAGTATGCAGTTATCCAACCTTAAAGAGAAAAAAAAATCCCAGAGATGAAGCAATACCCTAAGATTCCAGATAAACGGATGGCTGCACATGGACAGGACTGAAAGCCTCCCCGAGAAAACCTAGTGTCCTATACAGTACCCCATTCTAACACTAAATGACATATTCTTCTGTCAAAAATCAACACAGCAGGTAAGGAAAAATTTAAAAAAGAAAAAAAAGATCATCTAACCTTATAGATCCAAAAAGAATGGTCTATATTCTAGGAGGGGAGGGGCAGGAAGAAACTGAAGACGTTTGGAAAGACCGCCAGAGCCTCCTCAGTACTATCTAGAGATACTCTATTCATAGCCGTACGTGAGGGGAAGCTAGCAAAATCTCAGTACCTGCCTCCCAATTTGGTTGTGAATCTAAAACCACACTAAAAAAAATGACTTTAAAAAAATTCTACTAATACAGGAATGAAAAAGGAACTGAGTATGTCCAACTGCTTAATCCTTCTCTCTTCCACCCCCTCACTTCTCCCTCCAAAGTCTGCTTCCTGCTTTTTAGAGGGACTACTAACTGACTATATTTTAATATACACGTGAGCAAAATTCCATTTGGTTTGGACCGCCTTCTCACGAAAAGCACATGTATGCTCAATAGACAAATGACTATGGCAGATGGCACACACAGGTTTTAGCAAGTAAGATGTGGCTTGAAGGTGACAGATGCCAGGTGAAGGTGATCACATGCTAGGTCAGATGTGTTTTTAGAGCAGTTTTAGATTCACAAACAAATTGGGAGGAAGGTGCAGAGATTTTTCTAGCATCCCCTCACGTATAGCTATGAATACAGCATGCTAAGCCTCTCCCTTACTTTCTAGCAGTCATGGGCATTTATAATTGGGGATAAGCCCCCACTGTCGCCTAAAGCAGACGGATGAAACTTAGACTGTTCAAGGCTGAACTTGCTCAGGGTCCCACTAATGGGGCGTTTCCCTTTTTAAGATTTCCTTATCTTACTTCACATGTCAGTGTTTCTGCCTACGTATACACGTGTATACATGTGAATGTGCATGCCTGGTGTCTGTGGAAGTCAGAAGAGGGTGTTAGATCCCCTGAACTAGTTACAGATGGTTCAGGTTCAGAGTCACCGTGTGGGTGCTGAGAAGCAAACCTTGGTCCTCTGCAGCATGAGCATCGAGTGCTCTCAGCTGTCGCTCCAGCCTCAGCACTGAGTCTTAGAGCAGGGCCTGTTCACTTACACTGGCCTGGAACAAGAAAGAACGAGATGCCCCAAGAGACAGAAAAGTTAGCAGCAGAGACTCTCGCCGTCTCTACAGTGGTAGCCTCCGGGAGCTTGCTACAGAATATGGTCTCTAGGGTTGGTCCGAACATCTAATGCTGACCTTGGAAGGAGCTTAAGATATCACAACCACAATCCCATTCCTGACTTGTTGTATCATTGCGTCTTACTTCTAGCCACTGACAGCACTGCTTTGAGTCTGTTCCCACACTTATGAACCAAAGATCATTACATTTTAGGCTAAGTGAGCCTCTCAAAGCAACAAGAAAGAATTTCCGTTTAGGAGATGTTAATTAGTTCAAAGCAGTGAACTCATAACTAACTGTCCTTTATAGGACATTAAAGGCCCCCAGACCTATGCCAAGAAAAGCACAAACACAAGAACTAGCTGATGAAGCTAATTTAACTAAGTGCATTTAGAATTATGTGCAAAGTAAGAACTTGCTCTGGTCATCGCACTCGAACAGCGTATTTAAAAATCCTCAGGAGACCGAGGTTACAAACCATCCTGCTGAACTTAAGAATATACAGAAACAAATTGCTAAGCAAACAAAACAGGAGTGTGACCTTTTTTTTAAGAATACAATCTCTTGTTTCTGGAGTCTTCTTACCCCACAAGTGTGTAGCTACTTAGAAATGACGCTCTGTAACTTCAAAGCAGAGAGAGTCTAATTTATCATGTTTTTACAAAAGCATGTATAGCAACCTTCAGTTAACTTGGTTTAGTAATCATGGTGTTTGATCAGCTCTGCTTGATTCTACACAACTGTAAGAAATTAAAAACAGCTGTCTGCCCATCTACCTTGACTTTGGGCACCTTTGATAAATGACTCTAGGAAAATACTGGGTTTGCTTGTAAGAAAGTGACAATTAAGAAGAAGACTAATTATCTTGAGATTGGAAAAACAACCTGTTTTCTCCTGTAGCACAGAGTTAGCAGAATTCCTCAGAGTAAGGTGCTTTTGGGAGGGGCCTTTGGCTGAAGGCAGCATAGGAGAAACATGTTTTCACTTTTAGGTAGGGAAAGGCCAACTGAGGATTGATGGGTCTACCCTTTAAAAACGCTTACCAATACCTATATTAATACTATGGACATCTACCAACAACTTTCAATGTAAATAACACACTACTTCATATTACTTTAATATCCTGGATTCATACCTAGACTAAAAAAAAAAAAAAAATCAAAGCAAAACCACAGTTTAGGAAATTCTTCATGTACACTACACTTAACTTCACACAGGAGAAAGTTCCACTTTAGAATTCCTTTTTTTTTAACTTAGCAAGAAAAAATCATTCTCTTCATTTTCAAACTATCCTTTGAGTATTTTATATGTACTATTAGACAAATATGCTTACCACACTAAAAAAGTAAATGTTAATATTTGGCATAATTCCAATATGGCAAATCTACAAAAATGTATGTAATATTTACTAAGTGTACAAGTAGTGATTTGTTGACTACATAAAATGAAAAGGCTAAATATGATTTAGTTTATTTCAGCCTGGTACTTAACTTTCCAAAACATTACAGGTATGATGGCACCTGAGGCCAGAAGATAGCTTAAAACCAGTTTGGACTAGGAATCAAGAAACTCCCCCAGCTCCCAGAGAAGGAAGTTGGGGGGAGAAGGATGAAAGCTGAAAAAAGAATTAATGAATCATATATCCTCTCCTTCAGCCGTTATTGAGCAAACAGGTTATAAAATAAATTATAAAAAAATAAAAATGATTTTCACTGGATTAAATATCTTACCTGCTACCCGCATTTTTGCCTTCTTACTCTCTGGCACTTCTCAGAAAGAAGGTCCTAAAATCAAAAGGAAAGGCAAACACCATGAATTATACAATGAATATTCCTCCCTTAGATTGAGGTTAGTTTAGGATAGATATGCCAAACTAGTTAAGTAAATACCATGCCATATTTTATCACTGGCCACTCCTTCTCCTGGGCCATTAAAAGAAGGCAAAAGAACTTGCCTTGCCTGAGTCTCCTGCTTGGCTGTGTCCTTTGCTCCCATGGATAAATAAGCAAGGCCACGAGCCATCACACCTGTGCCTACAGAGGGTGACTGTGACCCTCAGCGATCACACATCCGTGAGGAACCCGGGTACATGAGGTCAATAGCGCTTTACCAACAGACACCATTTGTAGAAATGGAGTTTAGATAGACCACCAGTTCATGCCAACACAGGATACATAAGAGCCAAAGATAACCTGCAAGCCCCACTTGCCCAAAGACAGACAATACTTAAAATGTAGGGGGCTATGACTCTTGGGAAATAACAAGTCACAAGTTTGTGTGCCCTTAAACAAGTTTGTTTGCACTGATCAGCTTGATTGGAGGTGGGTGGGAGGTGCACAGGCAGGAAATAGGTCAGGATATATGCTTGCACCTGACTGAACCTAATAGGAAATATGTTGGACTTCAAATTTTGCCTTTTTAAGCCTCTGCAAAATGTGGCCATTTTCTAGGAACCCAGGCATGGACTTAGCCAGAGTCCATCCTCCTGGCCAGTACTTAATTAAAGCTTGCTTCAAATTTGGCTCAAAACTGTGGTAGGGGTCTTATTCTCGCTGGTGAGACTAACAAATTATGTATGTCATTTTTTATAACATAATTTGGATATCACTGTTGTAAGCATTCACAGCAAACTCTGGATAGGAACTATTCTTTGATATTATTTTACCAATTGGCAACATAGACTAGAAAAAAAGTAAAGACAAGCCATGTGTGTGTGCTTCTCCTTCCTACCAAATTCAAACTACATGAAACGCTTACTTAAAATGGAACTGATAAGTAAGACTTTTATGCCAAAACCACACCCACATTCAACCAGACAACTTCAATCAACGTTTTGTAAAGAAACAGAATTCAAACGGTTCTGTGTAATAGATCCTATTAATCAGAAATACATTATGTCTCTGATCTCTTGCTCACACATTGTGGCACACAGGTTCCCAAACACAAGCGTGGACACACACTAGCACACACACACACACACACGCATATGTACTGATTTAATAATTCACAGATAGTCCCTCTTCCCCCAAAATGACCTTTCCCTGAAGGGCGCTGAAAAGAATATCCAGTTTTCCTATTCACTGGAAAAAGCAGTCTGGTGGAAAGCCTACGTGGTCCCAACCCCCCATGTCTTCAGCTGGCTCCCATTCTTCTGCAAAAGCTAACCTGAAGCAAAATACACCAACACTTTAACTGAGCTGTTCACTATTGGTATTTTTTTTCCCTTTGTTATCTATGTGAACAACATCTATACAATAGCCGAAGTCAATACTATCTACTTAAAGTCCTTAGGCACCAACCAGAATTCTAAAAGAAGAGATACTGAAGTATTCACAAAACTTCACATAACGGGAAGAGAGGCACGCGATGGGGGAGTGACTCGGCTCCTCAAAAGAAAAACTCCGACGGATTCTAAATCCTCTTTCGGTTTCCAGTAAAATTGAACTCTGCGTTCACAACACACACGTGGCTTTCCTCCCCTCTCGTATGCCAAATAATTTCCCTCCTGAGTGTGGCCTAGGAAAATGTCTTTTAAGAGGTGATAAGCAGCTGGGTACCAGACACCTGAGGTGCTATTTCAGCTTCCATTGCTGGGGAGACCACACCTGCATAATTAGTCGCCAGCCTCCTGCTTGGCCTTTTCTGCTTCTAAACTCTGTAACAGGCAGCTCTGTAAGCAACTATGTTTGTGAATGCAATTGTTTTCCATTAAAATATCTTAGGGAATTAACATTTAGAAAAAATTTTCTCTATTAAAAACCTCATCAAAATGCCTCGATCATTAACACATCTTTAATTAATTTCCTTAATTAACTTTCTTGCATCTTTAATGATGCAAAAGTGCAAATCCGAAGAACAGGAGTACTGAAATAGATTTTAAGGGCAAAGTAAGGTGTTTATGATGCGCTAACTCCAAACCATACCTGGCTGTTTAAAGAACATTTGAAGACACAACAATCTGAGGTGGTGGAAGTAACAGCACAGGAAGACAGACGGCTGGCAGTCAAGAAGAGATAGGTCCAGAGACAATTAAACACAACAGTACAGGAATAAAAAAGTCTCAGCTAACGATTCAGAAGGCTAGTCTCCAGGCAGTAAGTCAAAGGACGTAAATGTTCTGAGTCCTCAGTGAAAGGTGGGATACAAAAATTTGAACTAGTTTCCAAAACCAGAATATTAGTAATAAAGAGAACAGTCTTAGAACAGAACAAAATGCAAATATTCTCCAGCACTTGGGAGGTGGAGACAGGCAGATCTCTGAGTTGAGGCCAGCCTGATCTACAAAGCGAGTTCCAGGATAGCCAGGGCTATGCAGAGAAACACACTGTCTCTCAAAAGAAACAAAAATGTGAATATTAAAATATTCAAGACAGGATACTTAAGAAATTCATTGCTCCAAAAGTGATGGCATAGTCCAAAACAACTTTCAGCATTTTAAATAAGAATGCTAAATGAGAGGTGCATATGTCACCTGAAAATACAATCAGTAAGGCCACACTGACCCGAAGTGTGTGCATACTCGGGGCCTGAGAGTAAAGAAGAGAGTCTTAAGGTAGGAGCTCTGGGAACCAAGCCCAATTTTCTGGATGTTTTCATTTAAACAGTTCTTTGAGCCCAACTACCTAGATTGGTCCAATTTAATACAAGTTTCTAACTCAAAATTAGGCTGCTATATAAGAAGGACCTGTCTAGAATTCATTAAGATAAGAACCAACAGTAACAAAAGCACAGGTCACAGGTCCAACCACAATCCCCATTCCTTCATTATAACACTGTTCTGTATCAAAGAAACAAGCCAGAGAAACAATTACCATAAAAACAATTACTGTCTGGCCAGCCAGTCCTCCCACCAACCGGCTAGTCTAGTAGTCCTAGGTACTGTGCTGGCCTTACAGAGGAAGACAAGGAGGTTCCTAAAAGCAGGAAAGACGCTCACAAACATTGTTCCATTTCTCCCCACTGCACACTGATGTACTCAAGACCTTGTTGACAAAATACCACGTCAATCAACTTGGCTCTGGCAAATTGCTCTGGGAATTGCTAATCTCTGCTGCAAACTAGTCACTCTAGAGATCTGACAGTTTGTCAAACTGACTTAAGTTCAAGTGTTAGAAATCCTACTACTACCTCAAGAGAAATAGGATGAAAGAAAATATGCATACAAATATATACTATAGCATAATACTGAAAAAAATTAATTCAGACAAAAGAAAATATTATGGATTATATTTCACAAAATAGAGAACCACCATTCACCTTATTCCAACTTTAATTCAGTGCTGGCCAAATAACAATCTTAACCAAACCAATTAAACTCAGATGATTCCAATATTCAAGTGGGCTGGGGCTTTTCTTTTGTTAATTTAATTTTTTATTTTATGTGTATGCATGCTCTATAGGTGTGTCGGAGCATTTTGTGCATGCAGTGGCCCACCGAGTTCAGAAGAGGGCATCAGATCCCCTGGAACTGGAATGGCAGAAGACTGCGGGTTTGAACCCAATACCTCTGTAAAGAACAAGTGCTCTTAACACCCCACCTCCACCCTGGCCACCAGCTCTTTCCAGAGCTGGAGTTTTCAAGAGACTAGGTAAAAAACAGGTCAAACTACAAAACAACAGACATAGACTATACTTAAGGCCAGTCTGTGAAGGCCAATTCCATCCTGATAGGGCCTTAAGTCAACACCATTCAGTAAGTGTGTGAAAGGACCCACCTGGATGATTAGCATCTGAACCTACACTGAGGGAGGTGAAGTGCCTTCCTCCAGTAGGGCTCCAATCCAGACCTGATGTGTCAAAAGTATCTCCTCAGACATAAGAGTTTCCATACTATAGCTCCTGAACTCCTTCCACAAGGCAGGATTTAAGAATTATGCTAATTATCTGTTATTATAGACTCCAATTTCTCTTTCCCCTTGCAAGAGGCAGAAACCTAACCTACCTTTTCTGTGTCATTGCTAGCCACTAATAACCTTCCGTGAAGCTTTGTCTGACAGGTCACAGGACTCTCCTCAGTCCTGAAGGCCTGCTGAAGAGGCAAGATGAATTGCTGGGGTTCCACATTCAGTCTGCTAGCATTAGTTCATTTCCTTTCTGCCCAACCACATTTCAACACAGCTGCCTGTGCTTCAGTCATGCCTATGGAATGAAGTCTCACAAAATGCCACAGGCTAGAGCCCAGAAGGCTCCCACAGGGTAGAACGCTATGGTTCCTGGGGAGTGGTACACCTAGAGAGGACAGGGAAACTCTGTTCCCCTTCCCACACCACAACCTCTGTAGCTGCTCACCAGTGTCATTTCTAATAGCCTGAAAGCGCGGATAGTTAAGTAGAAACCACTCAAATTACTTGAGCCTCAGGAAGCGGTTGTGGGGGCCCCAGTTCATAGCTGGTCCAAGTCCAGCAGACTCATATGTAAAAAAGCAGCCTGGACTTGTAATCGGCATCTAAATAGGGAGAGGTAGTCTCGAGACTGAACCCTCAACCCACTGACTGCTGTCTCCAAATAGATCAGAGGACACCCACCTGGAATCTGCTGCAAAGGTCCTTTGTGTTCTGGAAGGGAGAATTCCCATTACCCTTTGAGGACACATCTTTTGCTTTTATCATGGTGTTGGAGTAGAGGAGGAAACACTGGCTTTTCTGATAGGGAAACTCTGCTCTCTGCCTGTCTTTAGGCTGGAAAAATACTACGCTGCACAGGCACACTGTACGATCAGGTCTGCTGGATGGCAGCTTGCCAACTGCAAAGCCTGGATCTCTCAGCCTCTGGAGCTGTGTGAGCC